TCAGTGCAGGTGGTGGTAGCTGGGTACTCAGGCTTGTGCTCTGGCTCCTTTGGGTGGTCGACTGGGTACTCAGGCTTGTGCTCTGGCTGCTCTGGGTGAGAGACATCACCACCGTAGCTTGGTGGCTGGTAGCCAGGAGCGGCCATGGCGCCGGCGACAAGCGCGGCAGCAACGAAGGAGTAACGCATCTTGAAGTTGGTGAATTGAGTTGGTAAAAAGGAGGTGGTTCGCGAAAATTATTGAATTAGTGAGCGTGTGGTTGCCGAAGCGTTCGTTTGTTAAAGAGAGGACGACCGAAGTCAAGCTGAACAACCAAGTAAGAATGCGTGTGTTGACGAGGGAAGCAGAAGCAGACGAAACGACATGGAGTGCTTATATCGCTGTGGCCGATTCAGGTGACGACGGGAATAGGCGAGATTGGATGGGCTAGCATGGCCTTGACTGTTGTGCTAAGTGGCATCGTTCTGAGATTAGCCCGTGCAGGGACCTACCCGTTTGCGCTGGTTCCTGAAGATCTTTCTGGATGCCAAGGCCAGCCTGCAGATGGGCCGTAAGCGCTGCACTGCAATCTCAGCGCCCTCTGCGAAGGTTCGCGTCCGGGAGGCCGCCGTCGCGATTCCCAGCGCGGCGCAAGCGATGTCGTGCTGGCTCGCCTGCCCTGGCCGTCTGGCGAGGCTCCTTCGCAGCGCCGCTCCGGCCCAGCGAGTGTGTGTTTGGCGATGTGACCGCGGAGCACGTGCGCGATGCACCATAGACTCTCCACAAAAGGCTAAAGCCCCTGTTGCCCGCCGATGCGATGCGTGCGGCTCACTCAGCAGCAGCTGCAGCGGTGGCGGCGGCGGACAGCGTGATTAGGCTCTCGATCACGGCGCGGTGCGTTTGAAAAACACGTTGTTGATCAACGCTTGTGCCTGTCTCGCCTGCCTTGGACCCGTCATCGACTGCCATCGACAGCCAGCGTCGCGGAGCAATTGACCATGGTTCCATGAGAGATCGCAGCGGCGCTCCCACGCCGCCGAAAATAGGAGCTCGTGGTATCCCGGCGCTGAGCGTGGAGTCTCTGCTTGACTCGATGCGCCCAGTGTGACGAAGTCGGTATTGCGCCTGCAGAGCCTCATCTGCTGGACAAGGCTTAAACGCGCGCGATTTGCACCCGTGAGCCGAACCTATTTGCCATCAGACTCTGATGCTGCGCGCTGCTGGCTCCTGGCCTGGTGATGTGAGCGCTCAGCGGTGCGGAAGTGCTTGCAATCACATGTCGACACAGTGGAAGCACGTCCTCCGCCCCCGTCCCAGAACCCGCCGGCGGATGCGGACGCCCGATGCGTGAGAGACAGCTTGCCGAGTGGGAGAAGTTGCCCGAGATCTGCTGTGTCCGTGACTGGGTCTAGCGACGGTGTACCGACGCGAGCGCGAGCGCGTTTGTGGTGCGTGGGAGCGCGTCGGTGATGACCACCGAAAAGTCGAAAGTGTGAGGTCCAATCTCCATCTTCTGCTTTGGCGCCGGCTCTCAACGCCGCTCCCGAGGCTGATCCGCCCCGTCTCTGCCACTCAATCCCAGTGCGCATCCCCTTCACGCCTGCACTACTGCCTGGTTCCAGACCACAACCGAGCGGAATGCAACCAGCGACAGCTCCACTCCCCCTTCTCCGCTCCGCCGCACCTCAGCTTGGTAGCCACGCGTGCGGCAACACTTCACCACTGGAGCGCGTTGGACCTTCCTCACTGGACGCGTCGCAGCGCAACATATGTCACTAGCACCAACTTGAACCACGCAGCGCGATGCTCCTCAGCTATCAGACCCCGGACGTGATCGGATGCGCCTCTCCGCAGCGAGGCTGAGGCTGTTAACAGCAGGGATTCTCGCACCGTGTCGACATCCTATTCCTGCATCAGTCACTGCCGAACTATTGTTTGAGCATAATCAATGCCGCATCTCGCTATGTCAATCACAATCCGCCCAACAATTCTAGAAGGAGCTGCGACATTGCGCGTGTCAGCGCGTCAATGCCTTGGCATTTTACTGCTCTCGTTCACCGCGCCTGTTGTTACCTCCTTTCCTTGCCGCGATCGTCTAATGAGGAGCTGAAAAGGAGAACCGCATAAGCGATTTTCCCTTCCCATCACTGATCGGATGGGGGCGTTAGCGAGCATCTTGGCTCCAAGCTTTTGACGAACGCAGTGGCTGATCTATCAATTGACTAGAGGCCGGCTCAGGACGCTAGATGCTCAAATATTGATCCTCCTATGCGTGCTCTTGAACCACCGGAGACTTCTCGAAGCACTGGGCGTCGCCTTGCCACCGCCATCATTTGTCTTGCTCACGCCACCACGCGCAATGTTGCCCATCTCCGAACGGACTCGTCGACAGCAGAAGATTGTCTGGTCATGCTGCAGGCCAGTACCGACCATTGCCTTCCCACCTAACATGCTCCTCCTCTTCGACAGCAACTCAGCACTCGCAACGGCGATCTGGAGCTACAGTTGGTCCTCAGCGGTCTAGTGATCTCGCAGCCGACACTGGGACAGGTTTTGGATAATGGCACTAACGCCCTTCATCAGCTTGTGAAACAGCCTCTCGCTAGGGAAATTCATTTGTTCACATAGGACACCACGGAGCTTCTGCGCTGCATCGAATCAGCTTTCCGGGCCTGTTTTCCATGCAACGCCCCCTCTGGATTCGGCTGATCTGCGATGCTGTACCACAGTGCGACAATACCATACCCAGAGCACAGACAGGGCAGAAGGATTCCGAATATCTCATGCCCGTCTGCATCATCACTCCACAAGCCGCTTCTCTTCTACTGCTCATTGCAACGGTTGTGACGACGAATGTTCTTCTGGAGCCCAAACGGCGCGCCAAAGTCCTACCACAAGCCGAACCGGTTTGATGGCAAAATTAGCAGGCGCATCGAGGTCACGTCAGATTTGCCTGAAATTGCTCAAAGCTAAGTCTGGTGGACACAATGAACAAAATCTGCTCTGGACGCGGGACTCAGAGGGCGTTGCAATTAACCATCGTCGACTGGATCTTCCAGTTTTGAGGCAAATTTTACAAGGGCGAGCAACAGAACTAGCGCTGCGAATATACGAGGCTCACCTGAGACCCGTCCACGATACCCTGGATCCCAGGACATCAGCAGCCAGATGGCAAAGCGTGGGAAACCTGCCCTTGACCAACGGAAGGAGTCCAGTGCGCAGCGGTCCATCGGAGATTTGAAGGCTTCATCAAGCTGAATACCTAGATGAGGCGAACATTGCGCAAAATGATATTGTGAACGGGCATCAAGTGCTAACATTTGAGACTACGTTGTTGGATCTGGATGCCTCCGGAGTGCATGTCGATCGCTTTTCTGACCACAGGTCAGCCTGCTCGTGCTTTTGCGCTTTATATCGTTGTTCACTGACATTCGTTAGGACAGGATGCAACGTCTACTGGGACAGATTCCACCAGCACGACAAAGTTGGTATAGCTTCTGGACAGTCCTGGCATGGACGTACGAATTGATACAAGCTTCTGAGGTGAACATCACACAGCCTTCGATACCTGAGAGGCGCTCTTGACTCCGCAACTACCACCTTTCCGGCATTTCGAAGATCACGGGCGAGGCAAATAAGCGGACATTACCCTAAAGATTCAGGCAGCGCGTTATTCAGAGCGAGCCTGCCATTCTCTGTAAAGGGACGATTTCTATTGCATAATCGATTGCGAGCAGGGCACATTTTACTACTGGACGACGACAAACTACTCTCTTCCTCCATTCGGCTCAGTTCCATCATTACCCTTCATGCTTAACAGAGCTTCCACATTCGGAGCACCGGGCATGAGCGTCAAGAAGTCGCAGAGGCTACCAGACTCTGGACTTATTGACCACTTCATCGCCGGCCATATCCATCTTCAAAATACCGATCCTCATTCCAGCGCTGCACGGCATCTGCGCCATACTGATAGCGTTGATACTCATTCATCGGAGTGCGGGTCCTTGTCGAAGACATCGAAGATGAAAGGCGAGACGAAGGGTTTCTTGCGTCGAAGCTGTATGCGGTGCTTGAGCGATCCCCAGGATAGCCGGTGTTGCTACCACGGTATGCCGGAGCGGTCAACTCGTATCTCGATGATCCCGTGTAGTCGTATGAGCCGCGATGGTAGCCATCTCGTGGTTCTGCATACACAGAGGACCAAGTGCCGGATTCAGGACGAGGATCGTATCGACGGCTCGATCCATCGTACCCCAATGTAGGATGAGCATAGTCATATGTACTGTGCTGGCTACTGTATCCTGCTGAGCGTGTCAGGATGGTTTGTGGAAACGGTAGGTGGGGTATAAATTCGAACTCACCGGAACCTTCACCTCGAGTTGGAGATCGAGAACGTCTGGAACGAGATATGTATCTCTCGTATCCTTCGGCCGCTTCATAACCTCTCGGATCGCTACGCATTGAATCACGGTCTGCGACTTCGTGGTAGCGATACTGGCTCTGCTAATACCTTCGTCAGTCCCGGCTGACAAATTTGTTGATCGAAGTGGGTCAATTACCTGCGGATAGTCGTCTCCGCTCCTCGTCTCATACGACTCTCGCCTCTGACTCGGATCCAAAGGCGGATAGTCTGAGCCCACGCGGCGGGAGAAGTACACATCACGTTGCTCGCGCAATCGACGAGCATAGACCGGGTCGTGGGGATACCCATAATAGTTGCGTCTCTCGGTGCGCGAGAGTTGAGAGTACATGCTAGCTCTCCTTGTCTCTCGTCGATGTGCTACTTCGGATTGTTGTTGACGGCTCATCTTTTCCTGCTTGGCCCGGCGCCGACTTCGATGACGATCAGTGTGAAAGTTTGCATGATGCTTTGCCTTTATATGGAAGAGAACAAGGTGAATGAAACAGGACAGCAAACCTCAGGCTTTCTCTCCACGTGAATGGAACAGCATCGACAGCACTTTCTTTGAGGTATGAGAGTTCTAGTGTATACTACCACCTTCCCGGAATACGAACTCCTCTCACACCTCAACTTCAGCAGGCGTCGGGATCCCACCATCCCTCGCCTTCCCTCTCCCCTCACCTTGAACATAAAACTTCTCCCTCAACTCCTCAATAGCCCCAACCACACTCTCCACAGCATCATGCTCCTCACAAGCCTTCTTCATCTCCTTCGCTTTCAGTATATACGTCTTATCCTTCAGAACCCTCTCCACAGCATCCCTAATCTGCTCATCACTCGGCGTCTGAGTCTTCAAATTAATCGCCGCACCCGTCATTTCTGCTCTCAAGCCAGTTTCGACTTTATCTTCACTTGTCCCAGCCAAAACCATCGGGATGCCACTTGCGAACGCTTGTGAGATTCCGCCATAGCCGCCTGAGGAGACGATGAGAGATGTATAGGGGAAAATATCTTCAAAGGCGATCCATTGTGCCCAGCGGGTATTCGCTGGTAGGACCAAGTCGGTTGGTCGTTCGATTTGTACTGCGCAGACTGCTAAGCGGACTGGGAGGCCTGCGCAGACGCGGATTGTGGGGAGGATGAGATGGTTGATGTCGAGGCCTGGGAGGGAGCCGGAGGTGACGACTACTAGAGGATGAGTATCGGTTGTGTTGACGATGAATTCTTCCCACCATTCTGGAAGGGGTCTTTTGTCGTTGCCGCCGGTTAGGGTACCGCAGTATCGAATGTTGGAGGGGAGGTCATTGCGGGGGTACTCGAGGGCAGGAGGGCAGAGTTGACAGTAGATGTCTGGGAGGAGGAAGAAGTTGTCGACTGGGAAGGCTGAAGGGAGTTCGATCGGGCATTTGTAGGGAGTGAGGTGTTGTTTGAGGGCTTCGTGTACACCGCTGAACATCTGGATAACGCCAGCGTTCATTTGTTTGTTGATTTCCTCGCCTTGACTTTGCATGCCGGCGCCGAACGGAGCAGTGTCTTTGGAGAGAATCATCAATGGCATATGGCCAATGCTTATGACTGGTACGCGGCGAGCGAGGGGGCTCTCGAGGAGCATGGGTGCGCTACCAGTAAAGCCTAGCTAGAGTCAGCGCTGTCAAAGATTACCAGAACGTGATGCATGTACCTGCATCTTGAAGCACAACAGCCTGTCTACCATTGGCCTCAACATCTCGTATGACCTCTTGCAAAACCTGGAACTGCTCATGGATATGCCCGAAGAAGATATGTTCCATATCATAGAGCGCAGTCATGCCATTTTCAGGACGATCAGGATATTCCTCCTTTAGTCGATCTGGATGAAAGTCCGCTTTGCCACGAAATGACACGAACTCCACACCAGGTATCGTTTCGATTTTCTTCCTGTTTACGCTGCCTGTGATGAAAGTAACAGGATATCCTCGAGAGGTCAACTCTCTGGCCAGAGACCGCAAAGGCCGTACATGTCCATAGAACGACAAAGTTGCGATGATGATGTGCGTCTTGCTCTGGTCTTGCGGAATTGAACCCATGGTTGCTATTCGATTATTTCAGAAGATGACTTGAAGAGAAATTTGTGGGTGAATCCAGGTAGTACAAGCACAACCATGATATAGATTAGCCAAGGTTGACAGCGTGTAACGACCACGCAGTCCGGCACCCCGGACTACTGCGGCTGAAGATATCGTGCTCAGCTGGTTGTGGGTCTCTCACATCCTTCGCTCGAGTGATGCTCAACAAGGATTGATTATAGCCGAACTCTCGCTTCGCTAAGTTAGACTCAGGCGTCCCAAACGTTCGGCCCGTGCAGACAACATGCGTTGGCTACCAGTTAATTGAAATAGGGCATTTTACAGGAACAAGCTGCAGTAGGGCTCAAGATAAGGAGGGCGATGAGGGCGATTGGGAAGATGAACCTTTCTTGCGAGGGATGCGTGCCAAGATGTGTGTGCTCGAGCCCTAGGATCCCTTATCAAAGAGCTGGCTCCTGCAGTACCACGCTGCGAGAGGGTTATTGGTGCCAGTAGGAGGTAGTCTCTCGATACTAGGTAGCAATGCACGCGCAACGTCCCTTTGATATCATGTCTTTCATAAATCATATCTGAACGTCAGTCGTTCATCGCCTTTGCGGCCTTCCTCGAGCCCAGCTTTCCTCGCAAGTTTGAGAAGCCCTGTGCTTCGCGCGACACGCATTCGGAAATCGTCTGGTGCAGGCACGTCGCCCAAGAGCTCTTCGCGCTCTTTCTCCTCGTTGCTCCAACTTCGAAGCACATCGCGACGCCACCTATTTTCTCTCACGATCAGGAACCTGAAGGCCGCAAATCCAGCCAAGGATGCCAGTACGCAGACGAGAAGTATAGAGAATGATCTCACATAGCCGGCTTCCTTGTCCGCTGGCGTGAACAGGATCGAGACAAAGACGCCGGCCAAGTTTCCCCAGCCGTTGATGCCAAGTAAGATCGCGCGCTTGCCAGGTTCCGGTGTATTGTTGGCTAGCCATGCGACTGTAAGAGGCGAAGCTATGAATGAACCTGAAAGCAGGACGCAGAGGGAAAAATACCGAAGCCAATAATTGTCGATCGGCGCGAGTACTGTCAAGGTCAAGCCGACGAGCAGAAGGAAGAGTCCCCATATGATTGGCACCAGCCTGATGCGCGCACGATCTGACCATGCTACGAAGATGAATAGCACGATCGCACCGAAGGCGAAAGGCGGCGCCGAGAGTAGGTTCGATGCAGCTGGCGATAGGTTCAAGGAGGGCGACAGCTCCTTCACCAGAATAGGCAGGAGCACGCCAAAAGCCGTGGCCGGGATGGCGCTGAGCACATTGCATACCAAAAGGTGCCAGATTTTGTAGTTGAAAAACGCAGAAACAATGTCGTATCTGCTGAGGCCGGAGTCACGAGTAACAGAGATAGCAGAGATTGTTGACTTTCGTCTTTCTCGGCGACTCAGGGTAAGTGGATCTTCCTCATCCAACAGCCCCTCGTGCATTTCATCTGCTGTGTCTTCTGCTCGGCCATTTAAGGGTCGCGCATCTGTATCAAAGTCGTGCCGCAGTACGCTATCGGTGTTGCTATCATGGGCTTGCTTGCCTTCGACCTCGTCAGGATATGTGTCTGCCCGCATGCGAGACTCTGCCCAAGCTCGTTCCTCGCTGGTCAGGAACCAGGCTGAATCTGCGGATCGGGGCAGCCACAAGAAGCCGATCAATGCGACAGTCATAGTCACACAGCCTTCGATCAGGAAAAGAACTTCCCAGCTCTTCCACCCAGTACTGCCTGGCGCGCGTCGTATCGAGGGAGGAAGCTCCGGTGCGCTGGGGTCATCGTCGTGTCCAGGGAACTCCGAAAATACAGCCCAGCTCAGAACACCGCCAACTACACCTGCCACAGCAGTCATGCCGTAGAAGAAGCCCAGGCGCGTTGCGAACTCGAACTTTGTGTAGAACAAACTCATGTAGCTCACGGCTGTTGGATAGAAGCCCGCCTCTAATGTTGCGATCATAACCCTCAGCAGGATCAAGTGCCATCTCTTTCGTACGTAGATGTGTAGAATCGTGCTTAGTCCCCAGAGGCTCATGCACGTTGGCACATAGCGGCGCATGCCAAAACGGCGTCCCAAGGCTGCTCCCACGGGCTGCAATGCCACGAAGACGAAGAAGAACACGCCCATTGACGTATGCACATCTTGTCGCGATAGCCCGGTATCGTAGGTGAAGCCAGCAGTTTCGGCATTTCCAATGTTACTCTTGTCCAAGCTGTTCAGTAGAAACAGCAACGCGAGGAACGGTAGCAGGATCGTGTCCAGCTTGCGCACCGTCCTCCTATTCAGCCCAGTCGTCGAGCGATCTTTCCCTTCTGCTTGACCAGATTCTCCGCCGGTCAGAGGCTGTCGTTCGTAGCGGTCTGTGTCCGCCATATCGGTCACCGTAGCTCGTGTTTCCTCCGTGTGCTCTTCCAGTGATTCGCGGTCGAGTTTCTGCAGCTCATGGTCGACGCTGGACCGGTCGGGCATGCTATGAATGCTTGAGCATATGGCGAGTGTCGCATGCCACAAATTTGGGCATACTTGTCAGCAACATGGTTGTTGTTTTAGTAGAGTGAGCATGGGATCCTGCCGGGATGGTGGGAAGTTGATCACCTGCCCCGAGCTCCTGCCGCCAAAGCCGAGCTCTGTTCTGCAGCCTTCCATACCTCCTACACGTACATGAACCTCACTTGATCATGAGTTCCACGAATCTTTGCATGTGATGATCTTGCGCCAGCTTCGCGTCGGTCGCAGCTGACGCTACGAAGACACACATTCCGACCTCGCAGGTTTCTGACTGTAATCTAACGCAGCCGCCCCATTCATGACGATGACCTCCAGCAGCTCTACTCCATATTTTCGAAGCCATCACTTCTTCAAGAATACTCGAGAGTTCTACGACCATGACAGCTGCACTGTCTCGAGATATAGACACGACCTCACGCGCCAACATGCTTTATTGCAGCGGGCGAGCAGCAGTATTCGAGACCCAGCGGGAGTGTACTTATTTCTCCCTCCAAAATGCACCACACATCTGCCTGAAAAGTCACGACGATGCTGGCACTTGATTGTTGGCTTCGTGTTTGACATTTGCCTTACAAAATCGCCATGAGTGCTAATGGAGTGTATCGTTATGGTTTTGGGTCGATATGATGGCAATGGATGTGCTTCTCCTGCACTCGAAAGACTTGCTTTGACGCCTGCATACTCAGTGGACACTTCAAAATAACCCAGCTGTTGTAGCTGCCGACCGATATGTTTAATAGTGGCATAAGACGGTGCTTTTATGCATAATCCGATCAATTCTAAGGAAAGCTAAGAGCTTGTGACTGAGTCGAGGGCATCCTGCTACTCGATGTCCATGCCGTGATTCAAAACGATTCCAAATTATCCGCATTGATCGGGAACGGTTTTCTGTGGTCAAATTGTGCATGTCAGTCACAACGCGGTGGAATTGACATTTGAGTCCTGTACGTGAAGTGGACGCGAACGCGTGAGAGAGGCGACCGAAGCTCTCAATCGATGACGCCATAGCTCGTGGGCCAGAGGCGGCGGCGGCGAGATGCTGAATGTATTGCAGTACACCTTTCTTTAATTGCCCTCATACCGTCAGCATCCTTTCGACCTCGCCACTGCACTCACGAAGCTCTTCATGCGCTTCCCATCGATCCCGACCTTCATTCGAGCCTTCTACGCCTTTTCGAATACCACCGCCCGAACCGCGCCAGGTCCATTCAACTCCATCGCGAGACCGACCGCCCTCCGAGCTTCTATGCCACTGCCTTTCATCGGCTCTCTGTTCTCGACCGCCGAATCTCGCAAAATGTCATACCCACTGCAAAAGACGGATCAGGAATGGCAGGCGCAGCTGAATAAGGGTAAGTGAAGTTGTGAAGCTACCATCAAGGTACCGTGGGTGGGACACTTCAGGGACGTCCACTGATGAGACTCCTCTTCAGAACAATTCCGTATCCTGCGCGAGAAGGGCACCGAAGCGCCCTTCACTGGCAAATATGACAAGCACATGCCCGAAGCAGGCGTTTATACTTGCGCCGGCTGTTCGGCGCCTCTATACAAAGCAAATCACAAGTTCAAGTCTGGCTGCGGGTGGCCTGCATTCTTCGACGCTGTCCCAGGCGCTGTAACGAGACATACCGATCGCACATTTGGCATGGAGAGGACGGAAATTGTATGCTCAAACTGCGGCGGGCATTTGGGGCATGTGTTCAAGGGAGAGGGATACCAGACGCCGACGGATGAGAGACATTGTGTGAACAGCGTGAGCATTCAGTTCAACGAGAACGACCCGGTCACGGAGGGTAAGAAGAGCGAGCTCTAGAGATATGGACATCCCGCATAGCGGACAATGCCAATCTTGTATAGCTGTATGATACAACGATTGAACGAAGAATAAGCCACACATGATGCACACATCAGTTCAGCGGCTGATATGGCAGACCGGCAACAGAATGTGATTGATCGCAGAGGTGTCCACACACGGGCTGACTGCCGCGACTTCGCATGGAAATGTTCGGCTTGTAAGATGGGCCCTGCGTATGCAACGTGAAAGATCGGCTTTCACATGCATCTCGTCTTCCGCATTCAGTTTGTGCTCAGAGAAAGCGGGCGTCGAGTGACACCTCATCGTAATCGTGGCACTTCAACACACGCGAAGCTCTCGGCAGATGCAAGTCTAGTCGGTACGGCACAATTTAGCACAGACTGCATCACGATCATCTCTTCTTATTATCGGCGTCCTCGGGCTTCATGCAGCCTCCGCCAGGCCAAGGCGCCGAGCGTGATGGAAAACATGGCGATCACGGCACCTGGGGAGGATAGGCTCCTTTCCGTGCGGTGTGCATGTACGTAGGCAGACTGCTGCTTGTCTTGCTACTCGTTCCACAAAGCATGGGTGTCATGCTGCGTTGAGTACACCGCTCCGCACAGGCACAGCGATTCGTGACAGGAGGCTTCAGTGCGCTCGATGGCGCAATTGTGTACGACGACTCAGCGCCCAATTATCGCTGCACTTGTTGACTCCTATCCTATCCGTCTTGTTCTTCTTGCTTCTCATTGTTGTCTGTATATTGGTAATGGACGACATTCAGCATGCATCTCGCCATACGGAGTGATTGTTCAGAGGGATGGGGCAGGAGGGGCAGCTGGCAATGGGATGTCGAAGAGAGTTTGAGCAATGCTGGACAGGAACACGGCCAGGCCAGTGGTGTCATAAGAGCAGCTTCACTCGAAGGTGAGATACTCAATCACGCGATCACCCTCATTCGTCGGCAGCACAACATAAATAAGATGGATTGCTTGCTTCGCTTCCGGATGTTCAAGATGCCCATCGATAAAGGTAAAGCTCGCGTCCCTCCTCCACGGCTGCTCTCCACCACCCCTTGCCGCACTCCACTACTCTTGCACCTTTAGTCGCTACCGCCGACTTCACTGTTTAATGTCGTCAGCCCTACAAATCCGCCGAGCGCTAACTCCTTCCACCGCGACCACAGGCTCGGAGACCGACGAAGCGAGCAGTTCCTTGCCGAACTCATACCAGCGAGACTTCTATTCGAAGGGCGAGAGCTCTGACAATAAGCACGATGCTGTTCCCACCTTGAGCCAACGGCTTCGCAATACCAACTCCATTTTGGCAATAGTCATATCTGATGACCACATCTATGCTGGAACACAGGCCGGGGAGATTGTAGTCTACAGCTTGCGCACATATGAGAAAAAAGCGGTGATTGAAGGGCATCGAGGCAGTGTGCTTGGGCTGCACCTGTCACAAGACCAAACACTGCTCTTCTCCTGCTCAGGAGACCGGATCGTCAATATCTGGAGCACAAAGACGCTCAAGAGAGTCTACTGCTTGTACAGCTCCTTCGACGTCGGCGATGTCTTTTGTGTGGCATATTCGGCGAGCTTGGAGACGGCGTATTTAGGAGCACAGAACACAACGATACAGTGGTGCAAGATTTCACAACAGGCACCATCGGCGATACCGACATCCTTGCGAGGCAATGATCGATTCTTCGATTCGAGAGGGCCGGGTGGTGTTCAGACACCGAAGCCTGCTGGGTCGGATTACATCCCCAGACACGCGAAGGGAGGCGATGTAATTGAGATTGACAAAGAGAAGGTCAGACACTTTGCGCATTATGGCTATGTGTACTGCATGCTGCTTGCAAAAGAAGGCGTGCCGGAACGGTATGGCGAAGAAACACTGGTGACCGGAGGTGGAGATGGAGTGATCAAGCTGTGGAAGCTGGATGCAGATGACGGAGGTGCCATTCAAGAACTCTACACGCTGGACGATGGGAGGGAAGAGGGACACTCCATTCTATCGATCGCTATGGACGGCACATTCCTGTACTCTGGTCGCAGTCGTGGAGAAGTCGATGTCTGGGACCTGGAAACGCGACAGCTTGTGCGAAACCTCAAAGCACACCGGGACGATGTGCTCACCATCTCCGTTGGAGGAAATTTCCTTTTCACAGCTGCTGTGAATGGAGAGGTCAGAAAGTATGATCGCCAGTATCAGCTGAAAACTGGCTGGAAGGCACACGACGGCCGCATCCTCGCGTCAGCATTTTCCTTCAACAATTCGAGGCCGATCTATGTGACAGGCTCAAACGACAACAGCGTGGCCATCTGGGATGTCAGTGATTGTATTCGGCTCAGCGTACTGCCTAGCAGGACGTCCAACGAGCAACTGGTGGAATTGTTACGACGATTTGTCGCCTGCAAAACAGTCTCATCAGACTACAGACACAAGGCGGACTGCAGAAGAGGCGCGTCATGGCTGCGCTCGGTATTCAAGAATTTTGGCGCTTCGACTGAGATGCTAGCAGCGGAAGATGGCTGCAACCCAGTCATCTTGGCGCGGTTTCGAGGCAATCCTGCTACAGCCGCTCAGCGGAAGAAGATCCTCTTCTACGGCCACTACGATGTTGTGGCAGCCAACAATGACAGCGGGAAATGGCTCACAGATCCGTTCAATATGCAAGGTATAGATGGCTATTTGTATGGTCGCGGCACATCTGATAACAAGGGACCGATCATGGCTGCCATCTTCGCTTGCGCAGAACTGATGAGTGAGCAAGCATTGGCATCCGACATCATCTTCCTGATCGAGGGTGAGGAAGAGTGCGGCTCTCGTGGTTTCGAGAGGGCCGTGCAAGCCAGCAAAAGCAAGATTGGAGACGTGGACTGGATTTTACTGGCCAACAGCTACTGGCTCGATGACAGGATACCATGCTTGACTTACGGGCTACGTGGAGTTATTCATGCCACAGTCTCGGTAGAGAGCAACCATCCTGATTTGCATTCTGGTGTCGACGGCAGTGCACAGTTGGACGAGGCGCTCAAAGACCTCGTGTTATTGCTTGGAACATTGTCCGGGAAGAATGGCGAAGTCAACATACCCGGTTTCTACGACGCGGTGCCCGATCTAAGCGAAGAAGAAGCTGAATTGTATGATGATATCACAAATGCTTTGGTGTCGCGCAACCCGGACCTGGGAGATCCCGAGACTATTGCGAAATCGCTGATGCGGAGATGGCGGGAAGCGTCTCTCACAATACATCGCTTCCAGACTTCCGGCCCTGACAATGCAACAATCATTCCACGCATGGCAAAGGCAGCAATCTCCATCCGACTCGTGCCAAATCAGGAAGCCACGCAAGTTTCGGAGGCACTGGAGGCGTATTTGAGAGACCAGTTCCAGAAGCTTGAAACGAGCAACATTCTCGACGTAAGCATTGATCACAAAGCCGAACCATGGCTGGGTGACTTTAGAAATGATATCTTCCAGACTCTGGAAGCTGCCATCATGGAGGAATGGGGTCCTATCGAACAGTTCAGCCATCGACGGAAGTCTTCGGTCCACCCTCCGAATTTGTCTCTGAGCTCACGACCGAATGGTCATGGAGCTACGAAACCCTCACCAACGACGTCCAAGACCTTGGCGAATGGAAGCGTCGAGCCGCTGACACCTCTGACCCCAATGACTGAGGTGACCAAGTCAAGACAACGCCAGAAGCCTCTGTATATTCGGGAGGGTGGCTCTATTCCCGCTATTCGATTTTTGGAGAAGGAATTTGGTGCGCCTGCTGCTCACTTCCCTTGTGGCCAAGCCAGCGACTCAGCACATTTGGACAATGAACGTCTGAGACTTGTCAATCTGGTAAAGAGCAAAAACATCATGAAGAAAGTCTTTCGAGAGCTGCCTGAGAAGTGAGACCTTTTCCAGCCTTTGCAGCGGTGTCTGCAAACATCACGAGAGAATGTATAATATATTGTTGCCAGGTGTCTCGGGTTTCCGTTGTGTCTTGGAGGGCGCTGCAGCGGGAGTTGGACATGAAGCAAACTTGCTCGCTTTGTTCAGCAGAGACATGCAGTGGGCAATCACTGCTGATCAACGGTGGCCACGACATAAGAGCTGCTCAGCGTTCTGTAGATTAGAGGCAGAATCAATCAGATCCATTTCACCCAAGCCCCATACAACAATACTTTGGCAATCATGGCGTCTGCTTACGAAGGGGTCAAGAACTACCTTCAAGAGCATTACCTCACTGCTGCCGCTGGTGGACGTGCAGGTCGGCAGGAGGAGATCAGAACGACTCCGTTGTTCTCTTTGGCGGTCAAGTATCATGTTGATCATGCTGAGGATGAGGTTGATACCAGCTCGGAAAGTGATGCTTCTTCACAATCTGCCGACAACTCAAAGTCTTCTGAATCTGCGTCAAGCAGCAAGGAGCCTTCGTCCGCATCCTCAGATTCCGACCCGGCGGCTGAGAGTTCCGACGAGAACTCGGAGTCATCTGTGCCAGTCTCAAGCAGCCAGCAATCTTCGTCTTCGTCTGCGCAGTCTTCGTCTGAGCGGTCTTCATCTGGAGAGGATTCGTCTGCAGAGTTTTCTTCCGGACAAACTTCTTCTGAAAACCCTTCTTCTGGACAGTCTTCTTCGGCGCAGTCTCCGGTTAGAGCTTCATCCTCATCAGGTGACACTTCGGCAACTGACAAAGCCGTCCTTTCTCAGTATGGTCTCCTTGGTTTCAATGTGGGCGGCTCTGAATCAATCGATCAATGCGAGCCGATCATGCTGAATGTCAACGCGCCGAACTCAGCTTTCATTTGTGGCTCACAAGGCTCGGGAAAGAGTTACACGCTCAGTGCCATTTTGGAGAACTGCTTGCTGAAGGACACCACTGTTGGCTCTATCAACCAGCCCGTGGCCGGCGTGGTGTTCCACTACGATGTCGCCTCATCTTCATCGATCGCAGAGGTAGCACATCTGTGCTCACTCGGCATCCAAGTCAATGTGCTCGTCTCTCAAAGCAACGAACATGCGCTGAGAAAAGCCTATGAGCGTATAGGTTCCGGAGACAACAAGCCCACAGTGCGTCCACTCCTACTTCGCTCATCAGATCTCTCGGTCGACCGTATGAACAAGCTCATGGCGCTTGCTGAGAAGGAAGGCCCTCCACCACTCTACATGGAAATTATCCAGCGCATACTCCGCCGAATGGCCATCGAGAATACCACGGCCAAGAGCTTCGACTACAAACGCTTCCATGCTCTCCTCGACCAAGAAAATTTATCCAGAGAACAACGTGCTCCCATGAATCTCCGCTTCAGCTTGCTGGAGAGTTTCATGCACCCAGATGATGTTCCATATCGCGCAAATGAGACCTGGCGTCCTAAGCCCATTGGGAACAACAGACTCTTCGATCTCAAGCCTGGTTCTCTCAATATTATCGACCTCAGCGACCCTTTCGTCGACGCCGCGACAGCATGCTTACTCTTTGACATCTGCCTTGGACTCGTCAAGAACCAACGCCCTCCTTCTGGTCTCATCATCGCCTTGGACGAAGCACACAAGTTCATGAACGACTCTTCAGCCGCGAAGACGTTCACCGGAGGTCTGCTCACTACGATCAGAGAGCAGAGACACAACGCTACGAGAGTCGTGATTGCCACGCAGGAGCCCACTATCTCTACTGACTTACTCGATCTCTGTTCGGTGTCGATTGTGCATCGCTTCACATCGCCGGCGTGGTTCGCTGCCATTCGAGGTCACTTAGGAGGCGCGAGTCGGATGTTGAAGGATGGAGAAGAGGAAAGGGACTTGTTTGGAGAGATTGTGGAGTTGGATGTTGGGGAGAGTTTGGTGTTTTGTCCGGGAGCTTTTGTGACGATGATTGCGGACGAAGATGGGGAAAATAGGAGGGCAGGAGAGCTGGGACCGAACGCTATGAAGATGAAGACTAGGAAGAGGATGGGCAATGATGGGGGTATGTCTGTCCTCGCCTCTGGATAAGGAGTTGTGGTTATGGTGAGCATGAGATGATCTGTGAATTCAAGAAGAGGCGCTGAGTTCATTTGTCCATAGTCTGAAACTACTGCAGGCCCACGCTTCAGGTCCGAAGGGCATCCATTGCCCGATTTTGTCCTTCTCGTATCTCGCTCATTTATTAGGAGCGACAGGATTCTGGGTGCACCGTGAGAGTCCCGAAATCAACGTCAATTGCTCTCTTCACGCGCACGTCCCAAGCTTGTCCAATCAGTCGCTGTTGCACAGCCTCAAGCATTTGCGCGTGCCCAGAACTCAGTCCGTCCCAAGTGTAACTCGGTGGAAATATCTGAGCCCTTTCCGATGAGCCACTGTTCGAAAGCCTTTGGTCCCTGCTCGATGTTAGCTACAGATTGCGCCTCCACTCCGATAGACTCACATGCGAATACGCCTCAGCCATTTCCCAATGCGTGTCGTCTGGGGCTGAGGACCAGATCGCGAAACGTCCTTGTTCCCACTCATAGCAGACGTCTACTTGCACGACTGGCTCGCAGATGTCGTCCACTTCAATGATCATCGCCGCGGTGTACGCTTGAAAGTGACGCTCGCCGATGAACATGAAGTCGTCATCGTTTTCCGGATCATCCAGGCGCATAATCTCGCTAGGAGAATGACAGATTTGCAGGCGTATGGTCTGGATCAGCTTCGCACGCTCGATTCCGATGCTTTTCATCCAATTCTGAACCATTCTGGCGCTGGCCTGAATGTGAACAGGGAAATAAGTGACGAAGGTCGTCGAAGAGTAGTAAAGCCCAAGGGCTTCGGCATAGACTTTCTTGCACTAAATGTGTTGAAGAACTGTCAGTACAGGCTCTGTGGAAAAAAGGGTATGGGCCTTGACTTGCAGTACACAGCAATGCTGGCGGGCTCGAGTAGACGCTCCTGACAGCTCCTGAACTGGGCGTAGTGCTGCGCAGTTTCTGCGTGGTGCCTTCGAAGACGGCCGACCAAATGCGGTTGCGCAACTCGGCAGGCAAGGACATCAGTCTCGACGATTGACCGAGTGTGCTCGCATGTTGCAGGTCAGCCCCCTTCAGCTGTCTGGCGGCGTGTCGGCGGCGCTGACCTCGACTGCGTCGAGCCATGTTGCCGCAATATCGGTTGGATGATGCAAATCGAGAAGATGGGAATGTCGAGGGAACTGTCTGCTCAAGCTTGCGAATTGACAGTGCGTGCCTGCGGTCCCGCGCTCCGTTGTTTGCTCCTCGTTCGGGCTTCACTTTTACCTGCATTAGTGCTGCGTTAGCTTCTCCTCTCCTTCCAAGACTTTCCACCTGCATTCCACCCACCAACACACGCACAAATTGCACCACACAACACGATCGAGATGGCTCGACGTAGTCGAGGCCAACGCCGCCGGTACGTGGCTCGAAAACAGAAGGAGAGCGCGCAACAAAATGCCACTACAAGCAAGCGCTCCATGAACCCGCTCCCGTCGAGACTGATGTCTCTGCCCGCCGAGTTGCGCAATCGAGTCTGGACAGCTGTGTTTGAAGGTTGGACCCAAAGAATCGATTACTACAATCGAGCTCAGAAATGGACGGCTGCGGACAAGGCCTACAGGCGTCAGCCACCGCTGCTGTCCACCGTAAGTGAACCCTTTGCCAATTTCCTAATATATGTCCACATGCTTACCAGCTTTGGAATCTCCTCAGTGTAAGCAGATCTACGCCGAGGCTGTTGGAATCTACTACTCGAAGGCGATCTTCTTCACAAGCATCATCTCAAGTGAATGCGCGGACAGGGTTCTGCGCACTTGGTTGTACAAGATTGGTTCTGAGCGAGCAAAGCTAGTCAGAAATGTGCGCTGCCACTTGAGCATGACTCCATGGTGGCTTGAGGACCTCAACGTCAAGAGTGATCCTAGAGAGCGTCACTGGCGCATCCACAACCACGAAGATCGACTGAGATGGGCTCGAGATGTTGCCGCTGCAAACGGTGGCTCCGAAGCAGTCATCAAAGGGGACCTCTGGTATGAATCCGATTGGGATCGCATCGTGATCTGGACATCGGATCCTGTTGAGACAGAGCAGGAAATCCGCCACCAGTACAGAGAGGTGTGTTCAAAGTATGTGAACGAAGTTGTGATTCATGGCTAACATCGGTCAGGGAGATGAAGAGCTCGACAAATGGCTGGAAGCAAAGGGCTCAGATGTCTTCCGCTGGAGCCTGCGAGGTCTTCCTCCAGTTGCTACTTATGCCGACGCCCACGACACGTACCGTGACCGGATCGAGTGAAGTATCGCATGGGATGCACACTGTGCGCCGGAGATCGGTTCAAGGTACTGAAGAATCCGGCTCGTCTCCTTCTCATGGAGCTCTGTGCAGAGCCACGTCCGTAGACCAACCAGCATTCGAAGTCGAAAGTGCCGAATACTAGAATGTAGAGGTCCTGCGTCGAGTTCCAACATCAATGACCAGGCGAGACCCAGCCCTTCTTGAAGGCTGCATGCTCTGCAAGCCCATGTATTAGAACTTTCTTCATCTCGCTGCTCTTTGACGTAGAGAGTGCAACTAGCCAGAGATTGGGCGCATCTCCTGTTGACCCTGCAAGCCCACGAGCTCAGAATCTTTCGCATCTTGCTACTCATTGGCATACGGAAGAAGGATCAGTCAGAGACACACTGCATCTCTTGTTGACTCCGCAGAACTGCAATCTCGGATCTTCCGCATTCCCATACCTATTAGCACAGGCTGTAGTCGTCCTTCTGTAATAGTCACACTTCGCGTCAACTTTCACTTGAGGTCCGTGCTTGCGTTAGCTTTAGCTTCTGATTGCTTCCAAGACTTTCCACTTCTGTTCCACCCACCAACACGCGCACAAATTTTGCACCTGTCGCACCAAACATCGAGATGGCGCGACGCAGTCGAGGTCAGCGTCGCCGCCACGCGGTGCAGCAGCGCAAGCAATCTGAGCGCCGCCGCGCTGAGACCGACGATACCCAACAAGCCTCCAGATTGATGGCTCTCCCGGCCGAGTTGCGGAACCGTATCTGGACATACGTTTTCGAAGGTTCTGTCCAAGAGTTGCGTGTCGATGAGTTTTACACGCCAGGCATGAAGGGCCTCTGGCGCGACCCCTCTGGCCCTCCGCCCACCACAAGAGTCATGGCGGGGTCCTGGAGTTACTACACAAGCCCGCCGCCGCTACTGTCTACAGTAAGTCACCTTTCGATGCGGATACTGGTCTCAAATCCACGCGCACGATGCTGATAACCTTCTTAGTGCAAGCAAGTATACACCGAAGCCATCGGTATTTACTACTCGACGACGACCTTCTTGAGCAAGGTCCCAGCCTGCGAAATGAGCGCGGAGAAATTGGTTGCTTGGATGAAGAAGATTGGTCCCGAACGAGCCAAGCTCATCGGGAATGTGCGCTTTTTCGTCTCTGCACTTTACCGGGATATGTTTCGCTTCGACTACCAAGAACTTGGTGACCTGGTGGCCTTTGACAGGGCTGCTATGTTGCTAGAAACCGTCGAAAATGTGGTGGCTCGAGAGTACGACAACGGACCGTGTATCAGTGGGAATCTCTGGTATTTCGACGATGAAGGAGGTTTTGAAATATGGACATCCAAACCACTCCAGACAGACCAGGAGGTCCGCCAAGCATGGGAGCAGGTAAGTGGAATCTGAGCGAAATGGCTGATACCCCTGAGCTGACATTGAGAAGGGACCAGAAAGTTTCGAAGACTGGCTTGTGAGAAAGGGAAATGGTTTAGGGATTTCCCGTTGGGAAATTGAGGATACGCCAGGGATCTCGAAATCGGAAAAGGCGGCAGCAGCGTACAGAGAGTGGAGTCTTGATGCACAGGAACATTGGGTTGAAGAACTTCTCGATGCATTCGACAAGTGGTATATGGAAACCCACTCAGAAGTCGCTCGATTCCACTGTGGATGCGGCAGATATCCCAAACTCCAAGGACGTACAAGAGGATATGCTCCAGGACACCCGATTAATCAGGGCGACGACACGTGCTTGTAGTCAACCGGAGAGCCTCCAAAGGTCACTCTCGCTGTTCCGCAGCCCCTACAAAACGTAGACTGATCTCGAGTAATCAGCCAAAGTATGCCGGTTTCTCGTCGCAGGTCCAGTCTTAGACCGTTAATACAACTGTACATTCTGTACAGCCTCATTGGCAGTATGTGGTCCTCCTCTCGTATGCCTTCAGCTCTTTGACGCCGACTGCCGCTCGAAAATAGCCTCGGCCAGTTGTTGACTGATCAGACCTTCCTCCACGCAGCCTTCCAATGCCTCCATCAAATCATCGACAGCAGCCGATGCCTCACCGCCGTACATGAGCGCAGCGATTTCTGTCGCAATTCCCAACCTCTGCTGAGCCTCCTCTTCTACCTCCTCATCTCCATCAGCCTTCGCCAGATTCATTGCCCCCTTGTAATATGTCTGTGCATTCTTGATCAGAGTCTGAGCACTATTTCGTGTATTCTCGCTGAGATCAGTCTTCGGAATGTGAATCAGCCGATGCCGCAAGATCTCCAAGTCGCCCTTGGACTTGTAAACTTCGGCTTTGCTCTCTTTGGCACTCTCAGTACTGAGCTTCGTGGCTTTGCTGTAGAGGTCTTGCGAAGTCGTGAGCTCTTTCCAGCACACAGAGGCAGGGAGATCTGGAGACTCGCCGAATCGGTCGATGGTCGACATAACCAACTCTGTTCGCGCTTCTGCTTCGGCAACGAGAGCGTCGGCATCTGTGTCTTTGCCTGGGATTTCAAAGGCATCAAGTCGTTCCACGTATTGTTGCAACTCAATCATATGGTGCTCGAATTGAGCGCTAGCATATGACGCGATGAAAGATGCGCGATTGACAGCAGTGGCGATACGGGCCTTATCCTGTTCCTCGGCTGGCAGGAGAGCGATGTAGCTCGGAGCTTTGGTTTCGCTCAACTGTCGAGCCATATCTCCAAGATTCTGCAACCCCTTCTCATCTAAAAGAGGAGCGAGAGTGGTAAGAGCTGAGAGAGAAGCATAAACGGTATCCAGTAGGTCACTTGGCGATACGGGAGTCTCGACAATCGCCGACTGCTGTTCTTTCATATCAACATCGCCAGTTGATGCAGACGCTGCTGCTGGTGCCACTTCTGGCTCTGGCTGCTCAAGCGCAACACCGCCATCCTCGGTATCTGGGAAGTCCAGCTTGTGCTGCTCGTACATCATCTCCTGTCTCGACAAACATGATGACAGATGCGTGATCGCCTGTTCCAGAAATGGCACTGCCTCATCCTCACGATCATCCTCAGTCAACTGCTCCGCAAGAGAGGTCTCAACTTGTGCAATGTTGAACAGAGCATCTGGGTTCTCCTCATTCAACTGCAGAGCATGTTGGTGAGACAACAGAGTCCTCTCGAGCCAAGCAGGTAGCTCGACACCAATGTGCTCCAGAATAGCAGGCTGTTGCGAAATTTCAAGCTCCAATCGCGCCTTGTTGTACGCTAGATCAAAGTCCTTTGGATGCTTTCCAACCCCGGTATCGTAGAGTTCAAGGGCTCGGACGAACGCTCTTGCAGACTTTACGGGGTCGCCAGCACGATGCTTGCCTCCTGCAGCCTCTTCGAAGTCTGCTGCTTCTTGATAATCATCTGCCGAAACCAGAGCAGCAGCCTTGGCAGGCTTTTTTTTCGGCGGCGGCCTTGTGAATTGCTTCGGCTTTTGGCCCATTTTTGCAATCGTGTTCGGAGTCAAGTCGCGCCGAATGAGACGAGAGAGACCAGTGAGATCGATACGGCCTGATGTTGTCGCCAGCAGAGGCTTCTGGAAAAGCGTGGCAGATTCGCACTTCCTGGTAGGGATGTGGTCCGAATCTTGACACAGCGCTCCACGAAAAAAGGGCCACGCTAAGGCATCAGATAAGGCCGATAGGCAGGGATGGGAACTCGGTGGTGCCCTGCATTCGACGTAACAGTGCATTTCGCCCAAAACTCACGAATCACCGCTCAACAAAGCAAGAGGCCATTGCCGGCGATGACTGGCGTGGAAACGTGCGGCGGCCGTGCTGCAGGGCATGGCGGTGGGAAAAGTGGCAGCACACCACCCTCGCCCCCGATGCACGTCGATGGAAGGGGAAGAATACCGTACTGGCAATGGGTGTGGAGCGGCCAGCAATCACGTTGTTCGCAAGACTAGGAGCATCCGTGTGGGCTGCCTGCTTGTCCGTAGCAGAGATTGTTGTTCCCAACACGTCATTCTTGACTATTCCATGTACCCTAGCGGGCGGCTTTTGATAAGTAATTCCCAAGCACCCGCCGAGCAGTGCACTTCGCTCTTGTGTTGCGCATGAATCATTGTGCTGTGTTTTGCAGATCTCTGTAAGACCGCAAGAACGATCAACTACACTCGCCGAAGCCTACTGCTGCTCGTGCTCTTACTACTTGCTTCTCTGCTGTACAACCGAACAACAGAAACCATGGGACGCCCTCCGAATCTCTACTCCTTCGGCGACGTCGACAAGGAACTCGCTCCCAACCTCCGCAAATACATCCTCGAGGCACAGAACGAGGCCCTCAGTCGCCAAAATGGCGTCTTCCGCATAGCAGTCTCCGGCGGCTCCCTCCCAAAAACACTCGCCAAAGCCCTCTTGGCACCCTCCAATGGCAACTCCGACGACAAACTCGACTTCTCCAAATGGGAAATCTTCTACGCCGACGAGCGTGTCGTGCCTCTCGATCACGAGGACTCCAACCACAGACTCGTGAAGCAGGACCTCCTCGACCAAATCCCCTCCGAACTCGGCCAACCCAAAGTCTTCCCCATCGATGAGCAATACCTCGACGATGCGCAAGAATGCGCAGATCAATACGAAAAGACTCTCGTGTCGATTTTCGCTCAGCGCGATTCTGTCAAACTCCCTCTCTTCGATCTCATCCTGCTAGGCTGTGGTCCCGATGGACACACGTGTTCGCTGTTTCCTGATCATCCTCTTCTCCGGGAGAAGAATGCATGGATTCTCTCGATCACGGATTCGCCGAAACCACCGCCAAAGCGCATCACGCTCAGCTTGCCGGTTGTGGTTCACGCATCGAAGATTGGATTCGTCGCGACAGGAGGTGGAAAGAAGGATGTGATTAAGAAGATCTTTGAGACGGAGGAGGGCGCGTCTTTGCCTTGTGGGTTGGTCAACGCTCAGGCGGCGGAGCGGGTGAGCTGGTTCTGCGATAAACCTGCGACTGAGGGAGTCAATTTCCCGAGGCGCGGAAGTGTGATTTGAGGTGGATGAAAAAGAGCGTGAGAACTGTGTCGAGCGAACAGCATACCGCAGCAGTCATGCAGGAGTAGTTTGCAGCATTTTGCAATGCGAGAAGAGAGCGCTCAAGATACCAAATCATGATGCAACGGCCTCATTCAACATACTTATCATATCCAAGTGATCATGTTTCCGTGCATAAAAGAGGTCGTGCTCGAAATCTTGAAGGCAGAAGAATGCTGTGAAATTGTGTATTTTGTTTACTCTGCACGAGCTGTCCGCAAACTTGGTTGCGACACGCCCTCAAACTCAATATATCGTCCATCCTTCCAGGCTGTCGCCGGAGGTATCTCCGTCACCATATCCTAAACGCCCAAGATCTGCTATGCATTCAAAAGTGGTAGTAGTGGTACAGAATCTCGCCTCTATAGCTTCATGCCGAGCACTTGGTGCACACGCAACGCCTGTCGAATGCTAAGATCCAACATGATCTCCTCGCTACCACCTGGAATGGCATATGCACGCACATCACGGTACAGTCTCTCGACCTTTGCACCTTGACCGCCTCGGCTGTAAGATAGACCACCGAAGATCTGGGAAGCTTCACGCGCGCAGAATTCGAATGTGGTGGTGGCTTGGGCTTTGAGACCGGCGATGGCGCCTCCGAGCTTCAGCATGGCTTCGGTCTCGTTCATCTTCTGGCATTGGTAGATCATGTTCTCGAGCCAGCTGTATGAGGCCTCGATCTGGCGAGCCATATGTGCGAGCTTCAGTCGGATGACAGGGTGGTCGATGAGTTTCTTGCCAAAGGTCTTACGCTTGTGAGCGTACTTCATGCTCTCCTCGTAGCAGACACGGCTGAATCGCAAGCATTGGATGATGATGCCGATACGCTCGTGGTTGAAGTTGGTCATGATGACCTTGAAACCTTGGTTCTCCTTGCCGATCAAGTTCTCGACTGGGACCTTGACATCTTCGAATGTGATGTATGTGGTTCCGGAACTCCAGACACCTTGGCAGTCCATGCGGCGGGTGCTGACACCCTCGAACTCGCGCTCGATGAGCAGGACGGAGACACCGTTCATGCCCTCGCCGCCTGTGCGGACGGCAGTGGTGAAGTAGTCGCACCAGATACCGTTTGTGATCCATTTCTTCTCGCCTGCAGATAACGTTAGATGAGCGACGACGGAGGTAGCAAAGGCGGGAACTTACCGTTGACGATGTAGTGCTTGCCATCCTCGCTCAGCTTGGCCTCGCAAGTCAAGTTGGCCACATCAGATCCAGCATCAGGCTCAGTGATCGCAAGACAGATACGCTTGTCACCAGCAAGAATACCAGGCAAGATGCGCTCGACGAGCTCCTTCTTACCAGCCTTCACGACCGGCGGACATCCAATACCGAATCCACCAAGGACATTCCAGACAAAACCACCCGAGCCAGTTCGCGAAAGCTCGTCAGTGAGAAGCATCTCGTGGAACAGATCCCACTTCTCCGGAGGCACAGACTTGACCTTGTATGGCGAGATGTGGCTTGGGAAGTTGTGCAGTCCCAATGTACCTGCGAGGTAACCTCGTGTACCCATCTGCTTGTAGATCTCATCTGGCACCTTCTTCGCCTCATCCCACTCTGTCACGTTTGGCATGATCTCGTCTTCTACCCATTGTCGGATTTCAGCTCGGAGGTCGGCGTGTGTCTGGTTGAAGTATGGAGAGTGGTAGCTTTGGTACCAGTTCGGGTCTGCGTAAGGTACGAGGTCGCCGAAGGAGTCGAGTGCCTCTGCCTCCTCTTCTGCTGCTGGGCCTGGAGCGATGGAGATTGTGCCGGACTCTGCTTTTGGCACAACTGCCTCTTTCTTCGCCGGAGGTGATGGAGGAGGAGTTGGTGCTTGCTTGGGCTCAGGCTTTGGCTTGCTGTCGAGGGAGCCGACTTGCAGTTTTGGTTGGTACTTCTTGAGAATGCTCTCATTGTGGTACTTCCAGAACTGCTTGCTGGCGTCTTTGCCTGCGACTCGTTGCAGGACTAGCATCTCGTCAGCAACACGACTTTCATACGCAGCTCAATCCGGACATACTCTTCTTGCCGCCAGGATGCTCGTCCGCGAATGCAGTCAGATCGTACACATCTTGGTCGACGATGATGTACAGATCATTTGGCTTATTGTGAGCGGCCACATCGGCCGTGGAGAAGGACTTTGACATCTTGGCGAGCGACACTGATGAACACGTCGAATAGCAAAGTGGACAAAGAAAGAATGGGGAAGATGAGGGATAGATCGGGGTATTCACGAGGGTCACTGCCACGAGCGAAACACGAGACAGAAGAATGTCAGAAGTCACAAGCTTACTACGGCAAACCCCAGCTCTTCATGTGAAAGAAACACAAAGCCGAGCATGCATCGTGACGCGGGCGATCAGATTTCACTTGCCTGGTCCTGGGGAAGTGAACCATTCGGAGAGTGCTGATTGGTCCACGACCCATGCCTCGGTCTGGGACGCGTTCGCGTGGCGTGTGCTTTTCGAGTCTCGTGCCAATCCTTCGGCATGTGATTCCCATCTGGACTTTCTCCGCGTCCGGCCTGCCGCCAAGCGAAATAATGCTTAAGACCACTTTACGAGAACGACAACAAGACTCTCCTGGAGTGATTACTTTCACCTCGGTCCTTGGATGGGACGGCATCTTGCGTGGACTTCGTACAAGTCGTCGCCGAAACGACTTGGACGTTCTCAGAGTATCCGAATACGCTTCGAAAGGCTCAATGAGACGATTATTTGCATGTCAATATCGCAGACACAAAATGCTTCCAACTTCGAATGCGAAGTATTCTCCTAGGTCATGGGCCTTCACAAAGCAGACCCGAAATGTTGCGACGCCAACTGCAGCTATGTCGGTGAGGCCTGTGCCGTGCGGCGTTGAGCATCGCAACGCCTTGCGATTACGAAGACCTTGATGGATCTGTGACTACATCAGATGGCGCAAGACCCCGACGTGGTGATTTTGTGCTCTGGATAATATCTTGTTTGCGATGTATACTCCTCATGAGACGCCACTCGAACGGTATTGCAATCTGCGCATGATACAGGCAGCTCTAGAAACTGTGTTACGTCAGTGACAGACTGGGGTTATGACGAACTCTCTTTCGTCCGCAGTAGCTAGCAAGCATGATTGAAGATGCTGAAGTAGAACAGCTCACCTTGAATCACTGTAGGACCAACTTCTGAAGTATACAACCAGTACCACCTTCAACAAATTGCTGAAAAACATTCACCACTGCGGAAAAGAACCACCCCAAACAAGCATCCTCTAATAACCACCCAAACCACCAAGCCCTCAAAACCTCAAATCCAACACCACCAAAACCATGCCCGAACAAAAACCCGTCCTCGTAACCCCCTCCACCTCCCTCCAAACCTCCGGCTCCCAAACATCAGGCATGATCCGGCAAAACGCCCTCGTAAACGTCTGCCCGGACATTTGCGCCTCCCGGATGATAGCCAAACCCCACACATCCAGTGCAATCCACCATCACGGTCCCGAAAACACTATAGTTTTCGCCTTCTCAGGCCACGGTACAATCGTTTCCGAAGGCGGGAAAAAGAAACAACATCTAAGTCCAGGAGATTTTGCGTTAATTCCTGCTTGGGCGGAACATCAAGAAGTGAATGAGAGTGATGAGGATGTTGTGTGGGCGATTGTGAGGAGTGGGGAGAGCCCTGTTGTTGTTAATTTGGAGGGGGGTTGGGGGGGTAGTTTTGTGGAGGGGGAGGGAGAGAAGAAATGAGAGAGGGTGAAGAGGGGTCTTTGCTAGAGGATATTGTTGAATGTGTGTATGAAAAGGATGTATATTGAAGCTGCAATGTAGCTTGCGCCATGTCTATAGGCTCAGTGGGCCAGTTCCTGTACAGCGGTGTGATCAAACAGACAGATGAGATCCACTATGTGTGGTCTACAGTGGCGACAATAAGCATCATGTATCGCGATTTAGTTCCTTCTTCCTTCCCTGGGGTATCTCAGACGCCTTTTCTATGCACTGAATATCTCTCCCAACAAGACGCCATTCCGTAAGCGCAAGTTTCGTTCGTATACAAATCGTGTGCTCTCAAGTTTAAAAGGAAATGGTCACAGACCAGTAGGCATCGGACTCTAGGATTTGCTTTTTATTTCACCTCTTCCGCTCTGGTGAGTTTGGTGGTGAGTGAATAGTCGACATCTGCAAAGCATTGAGTGCTCGTCTTAGGTCCGGTGAGCTTGGCTGCTGGGCTTGCTGCTGGTGCTCCTCCTCTGCGGAGCGAAGAAAACTTTTAAACGAGATACTAGGAGAAACAGGCTGTGAGAGGAAAGCTCGCAACCGACGATCCGTCTCTTCCATGTCAACATCTCCTGGTGTGCGCGACCCCTCACTGCGGCCGGTAATGTCGTCGAAATCTTCATCTTCATAAGATGTGGTAGGTGAGGAATGCCCAGATCCCTTCTCGTCTGATGAGGATAGGAGAGTCTCCCCAGGGCCGAGACTTGAACGCTGTGCGGGAGAGAGTGCCGTCGGTTCGTACATGGATCTGATTGGTAAATGTAATGCAGTGCGACCACGAACCAGCCGTGGAACCGCGACCGCGTTAGGAAAGTCACCGCTCCTGCTTCGCCTGTGGTATAGACCATATTCTGATCTCGTAGATGATGCTCTTCTGCGTCTCTTCGAGCCGTAATCGCGATTCTTCATGATGGAGGCTGCAGTGGTGTTGTTCACTGCGCGTTCAAGATCTAGCTCAGTCGCCACTGTATTTCGAATCCGATCTAACATGGGCCAAGTAGCTCGTTCGCCATGTTGTGTTGCTTTCTTCATGAACTCGTGTGATGGATTAGCAAGTATTTCTAGGGGCTTGACCCAATCTATGTCTGGCAGTATCGTGATGTCTCCATTATACTTTTGCGTAACGACAGAATGCAGGACCTTCAGCAGAAATGGGTCCCAGTGCTCTATTACGCTGTCGAGGATGAACATAAGGTTGGTTTTGCTCAGCGTCACCATGTGTCGTAGCAAAGCTGAGTCCTGAACTTGTTCTCTGTGCTCTTTTGGCAGGAAAAGCTGCACATGGGGGTTGACTTGACATGCAATGAAGTTGTTGACATTGAACAGGCGCTCAAGCGTTGCAGATGGTAGATCTCCTTGAATACTGCCGTCGATATACTTGTGAGTGAGATGACCCCAGGGCTCGATCGCTCCCGTGACTGGATTCTTGGACTTCAACCCTGGAGCCTCGAAGACGAACGGTAGTGCGCAGGAGGACGCCACAGCGGTCCAGATCACGACATGCGGCGACGTGACGTAGTTCAACAGTCGTGGCACATTATGCTTGTCCTTACACGAGACGTGAATGTTCAGGACCATCTGCGTCAAGTTGTAGGCCTCCTTGAAGGTAATGTCGCCCAGAAGATTTCGCATCACTCGGCAAAGGTTGGTAACCCGGAAGGCATGTTCGCCTTTGACAAGATTGACACTCGCACCGATCCAGCCTGGCATCTCTTCGTCGCTTTGGAAAACTTTCAGATCGCCCGATTGGAGCTCTTCCAGTTTCGATAGGATGACGTCTCGCTTGTGCGTGCAGAGAACGGAGCCAACTATGCTGCCGGCTGATGCACCGCAAACGATTGATGGTAGAAGACCTTCTTCAATAAGAGCCTTCACGACACCAATGTGACACATGCCGAGTGTACCTCCTCCGGACAGCATTAATGCTGTTTTGCCGAACGCAGCTCGAGCTTGCTTCAAAGTCTGGTTGAATCGTTTGACGTCCGCCGCAGGGTCTCGCTCGCAGTAGTCTACCAGCTGCTCAATCGCGTAACTGACGACGTCCGTGTATTCGTCGATCGAGTACTTTGTGCCTATGCGACAATGTTGGTAGAGATTGGAATTGCACATGCCGCCCAAGTCTCGCTTGAGGTGGTTGCGGATGTGGTACAGAACTGCCTCCATATCTTTCTCATTCAGTGCCTGCTTGAGTTCCTTCAAACGAGCGGTGACTAGGTCATAGTCATAGTCATGTTCCTCTTGCTTCTCATTCTCTATTCGCCAGTCATGAGCTCCCTCGAGAAAGTCCAACTCCTTCGCGCGTGTCCACCATTCTTGGTATGTTGTCGCTGCGCTTAATCGCGCCTCTAGGATCGTCTTGGCCTCTTCTGCTTTATTCGCGAAGACTGGTTGTGGTTGAGGGCGGGTGGTCGAACGAACAGTGTCGAGCAGGTCCTCGGCCATCTGGAACGGCGCATACGTCGCCGTGGACAGCGAAGGCAACCATTGTGATGTCTTTCTCTTCAGCGTTCTGCCCCAACTCTTCTCCGGCGAGCCCTTGCGCACATTGTCACCGCGGTGTTCGGAGGTGGACGAAGCGCTGCATGTGATCCACGCCATGCGAGCTGGCCATTCGTGGAGCGCTTCTTTGTTCGCAGTCGTGTCGGCGGGGCACTCTCGCTACTGTGCGCATTGATGAAGAGAGGGATGTCGTGGGCAAAAGAAGCGGCACATTCCCCAGTGGGTAGTGACCAATTACGCTGGATGATATGTTTACTGGGCGGTCAAGTGGTCACACGCACGACTTCCGCACCGACGCGCCAGACCGACGCACTCCAGGCACTAGTTAGCAGCGTGGGTGAAGACGTAGCTCCGGCCGGGCGACCTGACCATCACGCGCCTCCAGCAGGGTCGGATACGGCAAGGCACTGGCGCTGCTCCGCGAAAAGGGAACTGCCACCCTCTCATCATCATCGTCGCAGCCCTCTTGTCGCCTACGAGTCCTCCTCCTGCTGCCTCTGCCACCACCTCACTGCACCGGGCGCTGAGAGCACACCTCCCATCATCCCCGGTCATCGTCACATGCATCTTCACAAGGACCCAAGAACCAGCACGAGAAACTTTCCCTCAAACTCTATTGGACGCCGGGATTGGCTCCCTCGCATGTCCGCTGCGTGCTGCCTTCTGCATCCTGCCGTACAACGCAGCCCCTTCTGCACCACGCCTGCCTGTTGCATGCGGATTCCCCATCTTGAGCCAATCCGTCAGAAGCCGGGCAAGAGCGAACAAACGACGGCGTCCCTTTCCCTCTAGCAGAATCGGCCAACCGGACAATTTTTCCCTCCTAAACTCGCAACTAAACAGCAGCAGCATAGCCGAACCGAAGAAGAAAGCCTACTGAGATCTCGATCTTGAAAGGCATTAATTCCGCCTTCACTGCCACTGCCACGACCACTGTTCCTGCTAGGCTGATGACTGATGACTGATGAAATTGCACACCTCCCTCCACACGACCGAACGATCATGCGGCTGCTGTCTGACCCAGAAAGAGCTCTCTGACCGCCAAGCTGAAATTGGTCGGTCCGACGAAGCAGCACATTCAGCGAGCCGGCCCCGCTGGTAGTCTCGCGCAGGTGCAGCTTGCAGCGTTTTGTCTGTGCAACTGCCGTCCTCTCTCGCTTGTGTCAGCTGAACAGCCAGCCGGCCAAACGTTTGCATATGAAAGGAGCATTTTCAGAAGACTTGCACATGCTCATCTTGCAAGATTGTGGGTGTGAGTGTGGTTTCCCAATTGCGAAAAGTCTACCAACAGCAGGGTGAAGAAGAGCTACTCTGCTCTACCCGGCATGGGTACGGAGATTCTCGCTCCGTCAACCTCGACCTGCTCCAGTTGTTGCGTGTGAATATCATAACTTCGTGATCAGCTTATCCCAAGCTTGCTTCCCTTCCTCTGACAATGCATATGCCAAAATCAAACGCCCATCCCATGCATCTCCCATCGCATCTATCACGCCGACCCAGGCGTCTTCGCCTGTACAACCAGCAAACTGGCCCGAATCCCACTACTGGCGAAAGTATCCGCGGGCGTACCCAAACAGTCAGAACTGTTAAGTCCATTCTTAAACTGATTAATATGTCTCCCCACCACAATAATATCCCCGCCATTCTTCGGATTTTGCGCAACTTCTTCCTGCGCTTTGGCAAGTGCATCTTGGATCGGATCTTTACTGTGTCGTACAGTATCGAAGACGACTCGTCGAGCCACGTCTGCGGAGATAGACTTTTGCAACGTGGTGAAGAAAGCTGAATGGGATCCGTTGTTGTTACCGTTCCCGCTGCCAATGGTGTTCGAACCCTTGGACATCAAGGATAATGCTTTGAAGATTTCGGGTCGCTTGGATTCGGAATGTTGCTTGGTTGGCATGCTTGTCTCTTCCGTAGAAGCACTTTCAATTTTATCTTCCGATTCGTAGTGTACGATTGTAGCTGTCACACCCGTATTTTCCGCGAGTTGCAGGACGAGACGTAAAGCCACGCGATCATCCGTTCCAACTCCAAAATACGGCATAAAGACATGATGGCTTTGATCGACGTTCAACAGGGTTGTTTGATGGTCGCGTGCGCTGCGGATGCTCATTGCGCTGACTGTGCGGTGGAGTTGTAGTGGTTTTTGCTTCAAGGATCCGGAGAAGCCTTTATTGATGAATATTGCTGTGTTGCATTGGGAGGTGTTGAGGGCTTCTCGTACGAAGCCTCGGTAAGACGCGCTGTCGAGTTTGTTTCTGATGTTGTCGTTTGATACGACTTGCTTTTCACTGAGGGTTCCGGTTTCGCTCCAGGGGATGAGGAGGAGGTCGGAGGCGTCTTCTGTGGCTTTGTGGACTAGGGTGTCTGCGAAACCGCTCTCGGGAACGACGGTGACCTGTTTACGTTGTTAGCTTTGATATGCGGTGAGTTGTGTTTGCGGGGACTTACTTCGCCAGAAACTGTCAGGTTGAACATCTGGCCTAGGACTCTGAACGCGTTCAGGATGGGGTCAAATAATGAGTACTCGTCGACTTCGGTGACCTGCATGACAGACGATCCACGTTCTGTCAGCTCGACCATGCGCACTCCATGGACAGAAACCCTCTTGTTGGTAGGGATCTCGATGATGCTCGGGTCGCGCTTCTCGTGCTCCTTTGAAGGATGCTCCTTTTGCACGATCTCAGTCGGCTTGGTGCCGAGCAAAGACACAAATGCGAGCAGAGTCGGCATATTGTCGAGTCGCAAGTAGACAAGCAGATTGCGAACCTTGGTGGCCTCCTGCTTCTCCTGGACCACACTGTCGGTTTCGCTGTCACTGAGAGGCTTGCCAGTATCCCAATCGATCTCGCCACGCTTCCATGCTTCCAGCTTGCGCTGATACCAAGGTGGGTAGAGCCATTGGACCAATGGAGTGGTGGCAAAGGTCGTGACCAATGCCATGACGACGAAGATGGTGAAGGTTCGTGTGCTCAGGATGCGAGCCTGTAGACCAATGTTCAACACGATCAGCTCGACAAGACCTTTACAGGACATGAGAGCGCCAATCGTGAAAGACTCTCGCCAGACCAAACCATTAGCTTTAGCTCCGAGGGTGCCTCCAACGAATTTGGCAATGAAAGCGATTGCGATGACGCCAATCACATATGCCCAGGTAATGCCATTGTCGAGAAGTCCGATGTTTGTGGAGAGTCCGGAAAGTGCAAAGTACAATGGCAAGAAGATGGCACCAATGAGATCCTCAATCTTCTCGGTAATCTTGATAGCGAAACCTCCTTCGTGTGGACAGATCAAGCCAGCCATGAATGCTCCAAAAATTGCGTGCACACCAATCACTCCAGTGAAGAACGCGGATCCGAGACAGATCAGGAGAGTCACGACAATGACTGCCTGAGATGGACCATCTTGCAAAGCACGGCTGCGGCGAAGGTACCACATGAATGCTGGACGAACCGCGAATCCCAGGAACAGTGCATAGCCCACGCAGGTCAGCAGCACCCAGACTGCTGTCAGACCGCTTCCAGCATTGACCAAAGCGACGCAGAGCGCGAGAAGAATCCAGCCCACGACATCGTTTGACACACCAGCGGAGAGCGTAATGATACCAACAGACGTCCCGAGCAATTGCAACTCAGTCAGAATACGGCAGAGCACAGGGAAAGCCTACAATCTCGTCAGTCAAGATCCCCCTTGTGTCCAGTATCCCACCGCTCACCGTAATAGCCATAGCAATACCAATAAACAACATAAACGTCCCAAAATCAATATCCACAATATTCGGCTCATCCTTAAACTCATGATATAATCCCCAAGCTATTGCGCATCCCAATCCAAAAGGGAGTGCCATTCCCGCAGCACCAACACTCAATGCAACCCTCCAGTTCGATACGAAGAATCTCAAATCCACTTCCAATCCCACCAGGAACAAGAACAGTACGAGACCCAAGTTCGCGACGAGATTGAGGTTCGGGATCGAGGCTTGGGGAAAGATCGTTTCGCTGAAGCCTGGGATACGACCCATTACTGAGGGTCCTAGCATGATGCCTCCGATGACTTCGGCGATGACGCGAGGTTGGCGGATTTTGGAGAGGGGCCAGTGGAGGAGACGGCAGAAGATAATGATTATACCGGCTTGGATGATGAAGAGGATGATCGGGTTCTGCGCGTCTAGAGTTCAGTATTCATTGCGAGGATGCTCGCTGCCGTAGAATCGTACCTTTGAATCATAGTGTGTAGGATCAATGCCTTCTAGAATACCTCCTTGCGGTGGTGCTCGATTCCCGTCTGTACTTGAGGATGCGGTCGCAGCTGTCGCGTTTACTGTCATCGTGACCATCTCGGTCACAGTTGCGGTCGCCATCTTCGCGACTCGGAGCCCTTCTGGCCCAGCGAAAAGTGGTAGATCTCTAGTCCTGCTGCGAAAGATGTAAGATGCCCAATCCCAACAACAGAATGCTAATAAAAGCAGTTCCCCTCCAGGAAGTCGCACGACGCTCGGGAAGCGAACTCGTTGAGCGGGCGAATAGGTCGGGTTATTTAAGAACAAAGAGAAAGAGAGCAGCAGCTCATGTCCATGACTTACTAGAGCCTACAATAGCGTGCCCAGAGTGAGACCGCCTCTCAAGAGCCTTGTCTGGTTGTCACGCACGCCTTCGAGCCCTGGACTGCGGCGGCGGTGGGAAGCTGCAAGAGCGACTACTTGTCGACTCTTGGTCTCGACTTGGCGATGTGCACGTTTTGCGCGGCTGGGCGCGGGAATGCTGAGAGGGTTCACCAAAAATCAAAGGTGTCCAATCACCAACGGCCTTCCTCGCTTGCTCTGGACCAATGTGTTTCTCAGCTGCCACCCCGCGGTGAATTTTGCAATCAGCTGCACACATCGCGAAGCTGTACGCCCCGAGTTTTGCTGCTGACCGCATGTATTCTGAGGGATTCTTGTCCGTGGTGGCGCATAGCACATGCAACTTCGCCCCTAGACTAGCGTCCACATTCCTTTGTGACCGCTCTGACAGGGATCACATGGCGATAAGGTTCGTACCACCAATGTGAATGACACCATAAGCACCAGGTTGTCGCGAGGTCGCCAGGAGATATTTTGCTTGTCGTCGGAGAGCGAATACGGGCCTTCGCTTGGAGCTTCCAAAGGATGTAGTTAGAGTCGAGTGTTGAGAGAAGTTTGCACGTCAAAGTGCATTGATGGCCATCTGCAGCTTCCTTGGCTATCATCGGCATATCTCTGGAATAGGTCATCTTCTCTTGCAGTCTGACGCTAGCAAGATTGCCAGTTCAACAAGGGCAGAGCTCTTGATAGGCCGATAGCTATTTCTCTTGCAGAAGAATCGCGCTAAGTAGAAGCTCAAGACAGACGCTAAAACAGCGCATTTTTTGATGAATTGTCTTGATGCGTGCACACGTGCATTATCGGGGATGGAGGTGCTTCAACATCCTGGTCCCCCGCCATGCTTGTGATGAAATCTGGGGCAAGGCGGGAACCGCGGTTTCTGCTGTGCACACCCAACTTCAAGGCGAAGTCACACCGATCACGCGCCGTGGAACACCCATCCAGTTGTATCACGAACGACGCCATTGTCGTGCTGAAGGATGTGGAGGTATTGGGCAAAACTTCGACCTGGTGATCATGACCACCGTGACTGCCAAGGTCTGGGCTGAGGTGTTTATGGGGGCAGGAACGCACGCGATGTGCCACGTGTGGTGGTGTCTGTGATGTGAGCAGACTTCATGTTGTTGTGCATAGGTAATGTATAACTTTTTTTGCATAGTTTCTTCTTTTCTAGAGATAAAGCTGAGCTGCTCTCTTCAGCATCTATAAGTACATGCTTCAATAATCTCTCTGTCTTGATATCATGGATTCCAAGGAAGTATCAGCCGTAAGATAACTTCAGCTTCTCTCCTCTACCTCTCTTTGTCTCTTCTCTGGTAAGAAAGGTTCGTCGTCCGCCCTTCCTCGCCCAGCTTATGCTCTTCCTCCCTTTCCCTTTGGCTTATACGGCGTAGGACAACACTTCGGCTTCCCACCATAAAACTTCGTCTTCGTGCTCGTCTTGGTATACGTCTTCGTCAACGTCCTGCGCTTCAGAGTCGTGGTGATTGTCGTCGTCGTCGTGGCCGTCACCTGACTCGTCGCTTCCACGTTATTGCAAACTGTGGTCGTCGCGGGATCAGGAGTTTCTGAGGCTGTGGAGGTAAGGGTCGTTGCTTCTGTGTCTGTTGCAGTAGCGGTGGAGATTGTGATGGTCGTGGTCCGTACGCCTGTGACATAGAACGTAGAGACGGGCTGGTTGCCGTCTGTGGGCGCGCCTGGCGTTGTGAGGCAAGGGTCAGTCGTTGATTTTTGAGGTCTTCTTTCTCTCTGATGAGGTCGAGGAGAATGAGGGAAGCTTACAAAAGGGGAATTCTTCCCCTTGCAGTTGACGACGATGGAGCTTCGTATCTGCGTTCCGAGGTCCATTACGCTTTGGTGGTATGCACGAGATAGTAGTCGTGATGGTCTTGTACTTCGTCGTGGTCACCTTCTTTATAGCAGGTATGATCGTGGATGTAGACGTCGAGGTACTGGTGGAAATTGTAGTGGTGAGTGTGCCAGTCGTGCATTGATCTAGGACAGAAGAAGCCGTACAATCAGCATTCAACTCGAAAGTCGCACGAAAGACCTCCCGCGCGGATCAACTTACCGGTCGCAGTTTGCTGTGAGGTCGTTGTTGTCGTAGTCGTAATAGTCGGCACGGTTTCGGTGATCGTGACAGTCGATAAAGTCGTTTCAACAGTAGCGGTCCCTACAACAAAGAATTGTGAAACCATAGGGCTATGTGTGAACGACACTACCGTTCCAATTTGATTCTGTTTCGAAAGGGACAAGTAGACGATTGATGATGTGGCAACATCGTTCCACCGAACGGGAATACCAAAGATCCTCGTGAGGACACCCTCGTTCTGGGGAAGAGGTTCAAACGTATGCCCATCATCGAAAGCTGCCGATAGTTAGCCCTTCTATTCCATGCCTCAGTGAAGCTGTAGCTGACTGACCTAAGCCGTTCTCCAAGACTCCGGAAACTGAAAGACGTATGGCTTCTGCGTTACAGGGGCAGAATTTCACAGAGAATAGCAACGTTGAGTCATTGGCAGGGTCGACGCCGCATGTTTGCCCTTCATATTTAGTCTCGTACCGGTCGCATGGAATGGGACAATCCTGCGCTTGTGCTATGAGGGGAAAAAGTGAGAGAATGACGGCGCCTAAATAGAAGGCGATGTCGAAAAGCCGTGCCATTCTCGCACAAGAAACAAAGCAAGTTGGGTGGGGTAGTCAGTTGGCGAGAGACCCTACCATCAGGACTGTTCAATTCGAGCAAAGCTCCTGCCTCGCATGAATATATGATATAGTCAGCCCCTCGCTGTTACTACCGCTGCCGATCGAAAGTATAGTACGGCGTGCTTGGTTTGTGGCTGAAGGCTGAAGCGTCAATGCGTTTTGGGCGACGGAAAGTCATAAACTTTCGATAGCGTCATCTGATGGTAGGATACATATGGACGCCATGTTTTCGATCATGCCATGCGTGCTCGAACGTATGTTCTGCCTAGCGACGCGCTACTGCAACAGAACTGGCACTAGGCGAGACGATAGAATCTGGCCGGTGCACGCCGCCGGCCTGGAATACCATGATGAGGAGGGCGTAGTGAGGAGGAAGCGGTCTGTGTCCAGAGTGCCTGTAGAAGCGTCGCATTAACATTTTTCAACTCCAAGATTCTCACATTGTTATTCGCTCTAGGGGTACAGTTCGAAATGAATGTACAGTGGAATCAGGGTGCGGTGCATGGTGGCTGAAACCTAATCCGCGAAGTGTGGTCTGTCGACGGAAACGCTCGCTGGAAGGTGCAGATGTGCATGGAGACGAACGGGCAGCATGCCTATCCGGTCTATCGTGTGAAAATCGAGCTGATGGCGGGATCGTAGAGCCGCGGTGCCGTGGGACTTCTCTCTCTACATGCCTCTTACGGGTAGTGCCATAATCTCCTGCCGCCTCGTTTCCAACGAATCGCGCCCGCCGTGCCTCGTCGCTTGTGTACGGCCGCCGACGGCCATGGCTCACAGCCCAAGTACACTGCTGTACCAGACGGGCGTCTGTACGACGCTGTTCTCCGCATGTGCAGACGCTTTCCCAGCAGCAGCACGCTGCTGCTGTGCGGTCATTGCATTTGCGCCTCCGGTATCCCAATGCCTTACCAAAGGACGAGGCATGCCGTATTTGAGATGTTTTCGATCGCTCAGGCTAGACCAGATGATCAGCGGTTGGCAACAAACATTGGGACTTCCCGGTGGCTTGCTCAGCTGAGAGATCTCACGAAGCTCGGTTGTTCGCTTCACCAAATTCCTTCCGTTCTGGGCTTGATGTGGCTTAACGCTATTCCACTACCGAAGTGACTATGCCTGCCTAACGCGTGTGGCTATTTGCACCTTGATCATTCGCGGGTTGATAGATGCATCGAAGCACGACTCGCGCGGATCGCGACGTGTTGCCACAAGAATGGCGAACTGTGCAGTGGCACCATGCCAAAGAAGGCAATCTGGACATGAAAGTCCATGATCCCTTCGAACATATAGCCCTGGTCTCGGGGGCTGCAATGGGTTCCGGGCATTTTATGAAGCAACATCGCTTCAAGTAGAAAGCATAGTAACCTACCGATTATGGTTGAAGTAACAGTATAGCGTCAAGCAACGAGCCTGCTTCCAGATCCGCGCGTTATCAAGTCATTATTTGACAAGGAACGAAAGGAGTCGCAGTCCACGTGGGTAACTCAGGGAACAATTCACCTCCTCGAACTTTGATTCGCCCAAGGCGCCGATGTTGATGGCATCTGGCCTCGCCCGCCTTGCTGACTGCCAGTAGCCCATGGCGCTGATATTGTTGTTGAAGCACCAGCCTGCGGGGGATTTGAGCCCATAGTGCCAGCATTTGCCTGGAGAGGCGGTGCCATAGATGACGCGATAGCGGGTAATCGCCTATCAGATGCCTGTGCAACTGCCCATGGTGCTCTGGTTGTCGGCATACCAGTACTTGACTGCATTTGCGGCATAGCTGCGCCGCTCGAACGAGCCCATGGAGCTGCAGTGCCAACAGAGGCCACTGGTGGGACATCTTTGCTTTGTGGGGGCTGATGTTGGACATGTATGCTCGCTACTGTTGCAGCTGCATTGGCATCTTTCTCCCAAGCGAACAGGCTGCCGAAGGGGAAATGTTGCACCACAGGAAACTTTCCCATTACTTCAGCAGCGTACATCTTCAGCATGCCTTTGTTGATCTTGCCCCAGCCATCTTTGATGCCGCTGATGTCGTAAAGTACGGGGGAATGTTCCCAGAACGGACCTGTCTTGACATCGTAGATGAACTGAATCGCCGAAAAGTACATGTTACTGTCTTTGAAATCGGCGACCATGGGTTTGCTAGTGACAGAGGATGGTGAGGGCGACCCCTCCAGCGACCCCTCCGTAGGCAAGGGAGATGTGATGTCACCGTCTGCGATCGGTGGCCCAAATTGGGCAGAACCGAAGATGTAGGGTATGAAGCTATGGTCGTCGAGGCCCCAGACGCCATGTGATCCTGCCGGCTCCAATGTGTAGGTTAGGATAAGCTTGCGCATCAGCGCCAGATATGGCTGTATGACCCCGATCACAATGGCCTTCTCCTCTCCTGCACCAAATAAGTCGAGCTTCCAGAGCGATCCGAGGAATGCTAAAAAGCTCAGTTCGTGACCAGTGCCGTAGTCGAGCCGCTGTGCGCTGCCGAAGCTTCCAAGCAAGTACACTTTCAGTTCGCTCAACAAGGTCGCATCTGCGTCCTCAGCGCTAGCTTCCAGAAAAACTGGCAAGAAGGTTCCCAGATGTTTCTGCAATAGTGCAGATGCCTCTTCCTCGACGTGTTGAAACCATTTCCTGAAAGCGACATTGCCAAATCTTCTCGGGCCTGTGTCGGGTGGCGCGCGATCAATAAATCGAGCCAGGTCGTCAAGCAGAGCTCGTAGTGCCAAGACTTGTGCTGAGAAAGACAGCGAGGTTTCCAAAGTCGTCGCTGATATCTTGCCATCACTGGCCTTGACTGGAAACATGGCTCTCGTGAGCTGGAGCAGCCATATCGTCAAGTCTCTGTAAGCGGCAGATGCGAAGAAGAATGACAGGTCGTCGCCGTCGTTGATCTGTTTCGTGGGCTTCTTGTACTGGTGCTGAGCTTGATCTTGCAATTTCTCCAGTTTTGCTTGCCTTGCACTGTTTGCCATTGCCGATAGTCGCTGTTGTACTGAGTTGGGTTGGTGTCATCAAAGCAAGTTCAGGTCAAGGATCTTGCTTCGGAATAACGAATCTCCGACAGAAGCTTGGGCCCTAGCAACGCAACGCGACTGCCATCACGCGCGACGACTTCACTCTACGCGCCGACTTGATGCCTGTGCTCAACCGATGGAACAGCTCTCGTACTTTCTCACGACGCACGCAACACTCTACTCTCTTTCACTCGCAGCCGGCGTTGCAGCGTCTTCGTTTACCCCGTTAAGGGTAAAGTCCCACACTGCTAGAAACCGAGACGACTTTCGAGCTCGCTGGCGGGCACTATAGATCGTCACATACTAGAGGCCCACTTTCTATGATCGCACTCCGACTCGATTGAAGATCCTTCGTCTGGGCCGCTTTCATCGCGTGGCCAGGCGGCATGGCGCTGCCGCGACCTTCGAATGGAGTGCAGACAAGGGCCAATCGATTATCTGGCCTCCGCAACGAGATCAAGCAGCGCGCGCTACCCGGAGCAGCTCGTCCAGATCCATACGAGATACAAGTATTTCCTGACAAGCCACCGAGGTTGAGAAGGCCGGTTGCTGAGGTCTACGAATTCTCGCCAATCCGAAAGCAAAAAGCGAATAGGCGCCTCGATCCTGGAGAGGCCAATGAGACCTCGGCCGATAGACACGATGCAACGAATCCTCAAGAACCAACCGAGAATATGCTGCGATCATCGTTGAGGAGAGTGACTACTGTAAATATGCAACCTTCGGAACCGTCATCAGGCAGTGCGAAATGGCATGCCTCGCCTTTCGTAAAATCGGATGCTGCGGAGCAAGACCCGAGAGCTCTATATGTCTATCTGGACGAGGCAGACGTTGCGGAACCAGAGACGCATGTCGCGGACTCAAGCGCGGATCCAAAGACCCCAGCGACGCGCAAAAGAGGGCGTCCTCGTCGGAGTGAGCCCATTGATAGACCAAGCAAGCTTGCAAAGCACGCGCAATTGCCACATGATCCTCCACAGTCATCGAGACGTAAGTCTAGCAGACTCGGTGCAGGTGTAGCTGGCCCAGCAGCAGCCACCGGAGGCGGACCTCTTGTGAAGCCAATATCGCTTCGTATGAGCGAAATTGTGTTCCCAGCGAATGGACAAGGCCATCAGCCAGAGCACGAGGAATCGACGATAGTGGAAAGCGAGGTGGCCGCGAAGCCGCAAAAGCAGGCCAAGCGGGTGTTGAAGGCAAAAAAGCCCAAGCCTGCTCCAGTGCAACAACGCGAGAAGTCTCCAGTGCAGACCAATGTCGATGAATCTGATGACGAGGCTGAACCGCCTGACAATGATGCAGGAGAGGAATCAATCATCGAAAAAGAGGCAGACGTTCGGCTGCTGGGCCATCATGAGTCGCTCAAAGCTGTCTTTAAGCGTGCAAAGCTAGTCGAGAAATGCGGAGAACTCGAATCGATGGACAAAGAGATCAGAAAGATGCAGCGGTTCTGCTTGGAATTCGTCAAAGCTCTGAACGAACACCGAGATAGACCTGAGGATGTCGAGCTACTATCCGATCCGCCGGAGCAATTTCAGACCATCGCGTCTGATATTCGCAGGCTCTGCAACAAGGATCCTGCACGTCCGGTGAACCTGAAAAATACCCTAAAGAGCCACAACATCTATCTCCGCTTGATGCCTGCGCTGATCCGCGTGCTGTTCGCCTTGGTCGAATGCTACCAAGCCGTGGACGCTGAAATAGCACCACCAGAACGCTCCGTCACAATCAAACACCTCGAAACCATCACCAAATTCATCACCATGTTCCTCGAACTCAACACCGGCGCAAAACAATTCATTCGACCCGCCACCCAACTAACAGCCGTGCAACCCTTCGACCGCAGCATTGTCCCACCCCTAAAATCCATGCAAGAGACTTTCCGCCGCCACATCAAAGACCACGAAGAACACCAAATCTCCCTCGCCCTCAACCGCCGCGAACAGCTCCGTCTCGAAGCCGAAGAACGCGCCGAAGCAGAAGAGCGCGCTGAAAAGCTCAAGTGGGAAAAACTCGAAACCAAATGGACCCGTCTCCACGAAGAACGCTACCGCTCCGACGAACCCATCAAAACCGTTGCCAAACGCGCCCACCTTCGTCAACCCTCTCCCTCTTCCTCTTCCTCTATCATCGAAGAAGACCACAACGGCCACCCCTTCGAACGCCTTGAAGTCTTCCGTCCTCGCGTCGGACCCCCTCCCGCCCTCATCGAAAAAGCTAAACAGCAAAGCTGGCCGGAGAAAAGTTATGAAGCATTAATGAAAGGATTACAAATGTGGAGCGGGGATGTGCTTATCTTTGAGAGGATTTTTCGAATGTTTTGTGGGAGAAACGGGGCGTTGAATGGGTTTAATGTTACGGAGATTATTGTTATGGCTGCTTTGATTAGGGAGCATTTGGAGAGGACTGTGGATGTTGATGGTGAGAGTGGGGAGTGGGGGTGGGTTAGGGGGATACCGGATTGGACGAGGGTGCATACTGTGTTGGAGATGTTGGAGGGGAGTAGTGGAGGGGGATGATGTCGCGTAGGATGGTGTAAGATCACTTCTGTGAAGAGAGGCTCTGGCTGATGGGATGATGGCACTTGTGCAGAAACGATGAGATGAGATGGGACATAGAAAAGTCTGGTTGAAATTCAAATGAGATCTCATTTCTACATGATCCTTTCCTACCCTATCCTATCTGCCGATTTCCTTTCCCTACCCAAATAAATCCAATGGGTATAACCAACCCTAGATCCTAACCAAAAAGTATTTCATCACAAAAGCGCCATACCAGCCGCAACAGCAACCATCGTAACCAAAGAGATCTGACTGACAAGCCCAGCAGATCCCGAAGCAACATTAAACTCACTATCCGGCAACTTCAAAGCAGGATCATAAGTACTCGGAGTCCTGTCGTCCGTCGTGCCATTCCAGCAATACTTTGTGAAACACTGCGAGCACACATCAGGGACAGTGGTACCCGTTCGTTCCAGCGATCGGCTTAGAATCGCGCAACCGATACAAGTCGGCCAATCTTCGAAACCGGGGACTGTACCATTTCCTTGAGTGGCCATGTTGTAAGCGTTCAGGACCATTCCGTTGCGTTCGGTGTCGTTGTAGGAGAGTTTGCCGAAGGTGGAGGTGTTGGAATAGTAGACGTAGGGGCCGTTGGGCATGTAGACGAGGAGGGCGGGGATGTTGCCTTCTGTGAAATTCGAGGTGTCGCAACCGAAGAAGGTGGGTTTTGTGGCGAGGCCGAGATTGAGGAGGGTGTTGCGTGATGGGACGGCTGGGAAGTTGGTGCCGTTACCGATGTCGCTGAGGGAGCGTTCGTAGGTTGTGAGGATGGAGGTTCCGTCGGGCCAGTTGGCGCCTGATTGGGGAGTTGGCCATTCACCGCCGCCTTCTGTGCCGTTGGTGTCGGCGGAGGAGTCGATGGCGAAGATGACATCGATGTTTCGGTTTGGCTGGATTAATGGGTTGAGTGGGATGTTCTGACCATCGAGACCTCCGTCCACGAGAGTGAGGGTCTGGTCGGCGGCTTGAGGGAACGTGCCATTTCTGTAGCCTTGGAATGGGTTGACCCAGTCGGCAATATCTTCCTCGTCCTGCCCAAGAGCCTCAAGCACTCCTGTAAGAGCATCCTGTAGCGCTGATGAGAGTGCGCCGGTCGCATTGGCATTATCGACGGTGTTCAAGATGGCGTTGAAGAGGGAAGAGCTTGTGCCGAAGACAAATCCAACATTATCGAAACCGGTAACACATTGCTCGCCTTCGACTGCCTCGCCATTGGTGAAGTTAGTGCCGACGTACTGAAGAGGAGCATAGGCGTAAAGTGTCGGGTCGTCACTGCCGAGTTCCCAGGGAGTGATAGTGAAGACGGTAGAATTGGTCGAGATGACCTCCTCGCCTGGGTTGCGGCTGTCTGTCACAACGAGTGGAAGCGGTGCATCACCACGCGTGAACCAGTCCTGCGTGGCGATGGAAGACCACGTGAAGTCTGGTCCTCCATCCGTGGCATTGACGATCTGATAACTGAGAGCACGACCCCAGTAGTCGGTGAGGGTGGTGTTGAAGCCGGCATCCCGCTTGCCGCCCACTTGACCGAGCAATCCAGCATAGTAATCCACAGCACTGAGGATGCCACTCTCCGGGCCAGTGAAAATGGTGTTATCGAGCTGCCAGACGCGACCCGAGCTGCTGCTATCATCGTCGGCAGTGTCCTGAGACAGGATGTCGCTGACGGAGGTATAGTTGTTAGAGTAGATTGAGGACACCAGCCAGCTGCCTCCGGACAAGCCTGAAAAATATGTTGCTGACTGCAGCAGACCGCCCAATTGCCTGCCAGTCGTGGAGCCTGGTGTTCTCGAGTCGAATGCCTGAATGACGCCTGCGCCGTTCAACATGGCTCTGTAGCCTCCACCTGATGCTGCAATTCCGATATTTGGTAAGGCAGATGCATTGTTTCGGTTGTTATCGATGTATTGATTGATATCCAAGCCGGTGATATTCAAACGGCTCAACAAGGCCTTCATAGGCTCAATGGTGGCATTCCTCCTCACCTCGAGCCATTGTGTCTCGTTCGGCGACAGCTGGCCTGCGCTTCGCACCGATGGTCGGTTCGCGGGGCATTGTGCGAAGGTGGGAGTGTAGCCGTTGGGTGCATTGGCAGGAGCAGCTCGTCGCACCAATTCGGCCAATGCCAAAGCCTCGAGATCGACGGGAGTTGCTGTGTTGATGCTGGTTAGCTCACCAATGTTTTGACGCGGCTTCCGGTGGTCGCGTGCACGAACCTGAGGCCGGGGACAGGGCAGCCAATGCCGCCAACCACGCTGCCGACTGCTTCATGGTGATATTGAGTAGCAAATGCTGAGGACTACGGAACGCGCGACACAACTCACGCTGCTGAGGTTGTCAGGCCTATTAGACAGATCGACGGCCGGCGTATTCGCAGTGAGCACAGGCTGGCGCAGTGCTGTGACGCTTAGTTAGCGGAAAGTAGAAATAGCGGAGCTTCCGCCACGTCCGGCGAGCAAGTGGATCCTGGCATCGCCTCTTCACAATTGTGCACATTTTCGGACGGACCTATCAGAACGGAGAGCGTATTCGTTCGGTTTGCTGCCCTGAACGCGCGCTGCATCCTGATGCGAAAGACGATGACGCCGCACGGCTTTTTGCAGGTGTTGCTGACTCCGACGTGACGTTGTGTCTCTGTTCCTGCGCTGCTCTGCCAACAGACTTTGCACATCTGCCGCTCCGGGCCACAGGTGTGTCATCACAGCTTAGATGACACGCGCAGGATGAGAGGACGTGGCGCAGTCTTAATGGATTCTCATACAATCCGTTCTCAGCTGCTGCCTCCAAGTCGCAGATGAACGAGCATGCGGTGCTTCGACGGGAACACATGGCTCCGGAGCGGAACTTCGTCATGTCGGTCTCTCGTCACCTCTACCACCACGGCCACCGCGGACCGACATGTGGTGAGTCTGTTGCTTGCATAGGAGACGCCCGGATGCCACGGCCACTGTGGCAAGGCTGTTCCGCCTGCACTCGGAGCTCGACAGAACCGCAACACAACGGCCACGCGTACAACTCCTTCTCGTGCGTGAGCGGCATGCACAGCTGCGATTTGGCCATACTCACTGCAGCAATCAACGACGAGCCTGCCGAAAAGAGATCACGCTCTGCCACATGGACGCCCGCAATCAAACACGCGAAGGTGGCGGACGTGCAGTGCCTCACCCAGGCACCGATTGACGGCCCAGGAAAGAAGACGCGAGGCACGCATGAGCACCACGCATGTTCCATACAACTGGAGCTTTGCCATGCTATGATCTTCACAATAACTGCCCTCCGGCGTAGCAGCTGCGTCCACTCGACACAGCGGACGTCCGTCCTGCAGCCTGTGAGCGAAACACGTCTGGAATCACCCGCTTGGCGTTCGCCAAACATGCCCGTGCCAGCGCCGCCTGCAGCCCTTCGCCGGCGAGAACCTCTCTTGTTGTTGCTCGCTGCCCGCCCACGAACCTCGCTCTTGGCCCTGCATTCGTGAGCTTCCGACGCCATTGTTGTCGATCCTCTACCAAACTCCACCCCAACACCTCGTGCTCAAAGATGATCTCCTGCCTCCTCCTACTAATGCCCTCTTCCTCTGCATTCTTGAGCGTGCTCTTCACCAACAGACAGAGTTTGACTTCCATATCGCTACATCCCACTGGGCCATCTTGCGCAACTGCAAATACCCGGTAGTCGGGACATATGCAACACTGACCGCATAGCGTGCAAAAAGGAATGTTGGTCTTTCAACAACACGAGCCACTACCACACCGACCGCACGCAAGTAGCGCCGAATCAATCTCGAAGCCTTTGACTACAATATCCGACCCATTTGTATTCGTGCCCATCTCTGGATCAGAGGCCGCAACAGGTCGAGGCGCCGCGAAAAGAATCGTCAGGGCTCATGTTACGCGTGTGCAGCACGAAAGAAATGGCGACTTCAATATTGGTCAGGACCTGCAGAGGTATGCTTGTTGGTTGCCCTGCGACGTCAGCAACGATACTAAGCGAAATCGCAGCTGGACCGTGAAGCCGTATCAGCCTTCGGCTGCAAACACGAAGAAGAAGCGAACGACCAAGCGTGCGGTAGAGACTCTCAAGCGGAACGAATCATCCTCGGACTCTTCCTCAGGCTTGAGCGTCATTACAAAACGCTCGTCAAGTTCGCTCTCCCTCCCATCTGGAGGAGCTTTCGACGATCCCTTTTGGACGTTCCCGGTTGATCGTCAACCAGAGCTGTCTCCCATATTTGCCCACTACATACAGAATGTGGCCGTCGAAATCGCTGACATCGACGGACCTAGCGCCAAAGGTCTCTTGCGTAGAGTCTGGTTTCCGATGTGCATGACGTCTGCAGCTGCCATGTATGCTGTACTGCTCATGGCCGCATCCCATTACTGCATCATGGACCCTCATCAAGCATCACGAGTCAACTTACTCGCGCTCAAAGCACGGGCTTTGTCCGAAATCAACGTTGAACTAAGGAAACCAGATGTCTCCATAAATGACGGCGTGGTAGGCGCTGTCGCGAAAAGTAAGTGGATTGTCTGAGATCGTTACCAACTAGAGCGCCATGCTTACATTCTGTTCACTGCGTCTAGTGGCTGCCTATGAAGCTATTTTCGGCGATTCAGATACGTTCTCTGCACACATGCGAGGCCTCCAAATGATGCTGAAGGTACGAGGAGGCTTATCCACGTTGGGCTTGAATGGACTTCTAGAACGAATGGTCGTCTGGATTGACCTGAATGCTTGCCACTTGACCGGAAAGGCTGTGCATTTTGGCAACGAGGATTATCCGACTATCGTCTCCTTTGCAGCACCGGATCCTTACCACTTTGCCGGAATTCAATGAGCTTGCATTCAAATACTTTCAGCAGCGAATATAGCGATCTTCTGGAGCGGGAATAGATTAGAAGTGTTGCGGAATGTTCTTCACGATGCACTAGCGCGAGCGATCAGCACGACCGATGCCAACCACACCTCCCACCATCTGCAAACACCCGCGATCACACTTTCCACATCGCAAACACGATTCCCCGTCCATTTACGTCAACTCACGTTTCAAAGCTGTCACTCCACATCTCCCGAACCCAGCCTTGCAGATATTGCGCACGAAATTCAGCAAGACCCTTGAACTCGCTAAAAGCAGGTTTCCAACCATGCCCCAGGATCCCACTCATCACAGAACCAGTTGCGTCACACTCCACAATACTCAGGCCCCGGCTACAAGTATATACCATCTAGCTCTCGTCAAACGATCCCTTCGATGCAACAAGATTCCCTACAAGCCTATAAGCCTTGATCACACTTACCGAGCCGCAGCCACCCAGCCCTTCTTCTTTCTCGCCTGTACTCCGGGCCCCCTACTAATTTCTTTCTCATACTGCACTACCCAACGATCCGAGCGTTTTAGGCAGGCAAAGGGTTGTTGAAGAAGTCTTTTCACTCCGCGTGCCGTGTCAGCCCCCTGCTTATTCTTACGGCTCCTTGTACGTGCGCGTGCGCCTCCTTTTGTCTGAGCCTCGTGGTAGTATAAGATATCCGGAACTCCCTCCCTCCACATTCGAGAGGATGTCTCCACATCACGATAACACTTTGACAACAACCAAACAACAACCACTTTCTGGTAACAAGAAAGATCAACAAGATGTTCTTCAACGGGACGACGACGACTATGTTATCGAAGAGCAAGAGCACTCGGCAAAAGCCAGTGCATCGGTATGTCTCTTTCCTCCTCTTCTCTCCACATCCCCATCCCCTCCCTCCACTCATAAAACCTCTTGAACATGTTCACTGACATTGTCCATCGTAGGCGGGAATCAACCTCAACATATTCGGCGCGATCGCGGGCGCATTCAGTAGCCGGAAATCAACACAGCAGCAACAGCAGCCATTACAGCAGCAGCAGCAGCAGCAGTCATCACAATCACAGCAGCAATTATCACAGCAGCAGCAGTCACAACAGCAGCGGCTACAGCAGCAGCAATCGCAAAAGAAGTCACACGACGACTTCGACGGGCAGCAACAGCAGCAGCAGATCGAGGAGCAGCGAGAGGAGAGGTTCAAGGTAAAAGGTACGTACTCTTTCTTTCTACACATCTTCCGAATATCTGCCTCTTTGAGTCCCTTCACTTACATCGGAGCCGAACATTGCCCATGATCTTTTCTTGTGTCACCTGAACTACCACCGCCACATCATCATCGATCGATCAATTGTCGCGTAATACCAGAAGCTAACCAAATAAATCACAGGAGCAGGAGCAGGTCAAGCAAACGCAGCTGCAGCAGGCGATGCAGAACAATATCGATATCAGAAGAAAGCTGCTGCTGCTGGTCAGTAGGAAACATGTGCATCAAAGCAGACCAAACCAAATCAACTGGACCACAGACGATGACAAAAACGAACGAATGACCTGAAGCTGACCGTGCTTTGCTGGACCATTGGCTCCGTGACGAAATGGACGAGAAGGTGCTCGGGAAGCACTTCCCCTCATGCGGCCCATGAAGGTCGAAAAACGAAAAGAAAATAAAAAAGACTTAACTTCTCCTTCCTCGGGTCTGGACTTGGTTGGATGGGGTTGGAGTTGGGTCTCCCTCTTTACTTCGATTTGTGCAAACTTTTTCCTTTGGATAGAGATTTCATTATTATTTGCTACAAAGCAAAACATTCAATTCAATTTCTTCTACTCCCACTGTCCACACAACAATATGGAGTTGGGAACGTTGGGAGTATGTCACACTTCTCTCTCATCACATCACATCTCCCTGTCCTCTCCTGTCTGCGTTTGCGATTCATGAAGTCTCTCCTTGAGACGTGATCTACCGTCTCCAGTTCCACGCGAGCCTGTAGTCACAAACTCGCAACAATACCTAATCACCCTTCATCCCACCGGCGTTCCTTCCGCACAAAACGCAACAACCAGCATACCATACCCTACCCATCTACAGACCGTGTCAAGCAGATGACCTATGACATAACCCCGACGTCGACGGTAGAAAGGAACAGAAGTACAACATGAAATTCCTCAGGCCGCCGATTAAGTGATGTCAAAGGGATACCCCTGTCTGGCTGACTCCGGCGAAGCAGCGAAGTTACTACCCAAAAGTACGAAGTGGACCAGGATCTGAGGGTCACATAGAGCCAAGAAATCACCTGCGCGCGCGGAGCCGAGTGCGTTCATAGGCTACGGATGCTTTTCCTTTCTGCCAAGTGAGAATTTTGGGGAGTAGTGTTCTAGGTGGCTATCCCTGGTTTGGAGAGGGGGCGCAGTTGTAATTTAGGAGTAGGTTATAGGAGCCTAGAAGGTGGCCTATAGGATACGGTCGTCTTGCGGGATGGGCCGTTGGGCAGGGAGATGTTGGTTTTATGTTCGTTCTCACCATTGTGGCAGATTGATTGCGATGAGAGGTGCTCGAACGTGATCGCGTGTGATTTTCATCGAGCGCTGCATGCTATGCAGCTTCATGTGTACTCCGAACGAATGAAGACCTTCGGTCTGCGGAGCAACGGTGCCAATAGCTGTGATGGAAGGGCCAGTGGTGTTATGGTGGGCCGACTGGTGCCTACTGAATGACCTCATGTTGTTACCCTCTCTCAGCGCAAGAAAGGGCATGCCGGTCCTGGGCCCTAGGTCAATAATCACATGCGCTTGGGCCTCTCCGTGGAGGGCATCGGGAAAGGCTGGAGTGAGGCTTCCGTGCGGAGCGACACAGCCTCAGCGTTGCCATGGCGCTGTCCAGTGCTCGCACAAAGCTCAGCCACTGTGCAATTCCTGTATTCGTTGTGGCAGTGGCAGTGAACCTGCCTGCGGCTTTCTTTCAACCAACTTCAGCCTCCAGCATGTCCCACGTAGTCCTTTGTCTGGCCTTTCGCTTTGCCTCTGGATCCTTCTTCTTAGATTGTCCATTGACCAACTTGATGTCGTCCTCGTTTGCGAATGCGTGCTCTCCTTGTCGCATGCCTTCAAGTAGCTTTGCAACTCTCTCCTTGCCTTCCTCAATACCACGAATCTCTGCTCGCATCCTCTCCACGCGGTCTTCCATAAGCATGATCAGACTCTCTCTCGCTTGGTGTGGCCGGTATTGGTTGATGAGCGAGTGCATGTTGAAGACGATGGCTTGCAGATCTGTGATGCGTTCCTCGTACAGTGTTGGATCTTGCCCCAATATGCCCAGCAAACCAAGGAAGGTGGTAAGCAGTGAGCGTGCTAGAGCGATCAGATGTGGCTGAGGATTGGTCTTCACTGAAGGGTCGTCTGGATACAGCTGATCGATTCCAGCGCCCTCCAGCGAGGGCTCTGGTGCTTCGAGGTCGATTTCATTCCCGAAGACTGTAAATTTTGATGTCGCAGGCGGTGGAGGTGGAATGAGGTAGCGGAGCTCGGGTGGGAGGGAGAGCACGTCGATGTCCTTGTTCGTCGCATCGCTTTCGCCGTTATTTAGTTCCTTGCGCAGCTCTCGGAGTCGCTCGAGATTGTCCTTCGTAAAGTGCTCGTAAAATGGCGGCGGCAGCGGGAAGGGCGCGATGAGCTGCTGTTCGTCGGCCATATTGTCGCGATGTGTGCGCGCTCACTCCAGCTTGCTTGTGTCTCTTCGTCGCATGATGTGGTTGTGGTTGTGTCCGGCGCGTGGGAGAAAGAAGTGCAACGCGTGTTGGCGAGCTCTCCACATGCCGTCACCCGCAAGCATGCCTGCGTGCCAGCTTCCACTTTCACCATTCCATCTCTTCTTATGATCGGTCATGCCCGGCAGCACCTCCAGCAAAGCTGCCGCGAACCATGAATCCGGTCTTTGGGAGACGGCGCAGCGCTTCTGGCAGAGAAGCTACGCAGGCGACTATCTGGGCCTGGCCATCCTGATCGCGGGCTTCATCATCCTGAAGTTGTTCGATGCCCCCTTCCATTCGCAGTTCAGACTCGATGATCCGCGTCTACAGCACCCTCATGCCGAGGTGGAAAGAGTAGATCTTGGTATCGACACACCCCACGAGCTCTATTTGAAGACTGTGTGCTGACAAGTGTCTCAGTCTGGCTACTGATCTATGGTTGCGGCATCCCTCTTGGTGCACTTGCAGCATGGTCCCTCATCGCACGACCGCCTGCTCATCAAATCCACATCACCTTCCTCGGCCTCTTCTCTGCCATTCTCATGGCTACGATGATCACCGATATTTTGAAAGATGCGATCGGCCGCCCTCGACCCGATCTGATCGCTCGCTGCAAACCAGCCGAAGGCACGCCTCGAAACGAGATGATCTCAGTGGAAGTGTGTACAGAAACAAATCACCACGTGCTCCATGATGGGTGGCGCAGCTATCCTAGCGGGCATAGCAGTTTCGCCTTCTCTGGCTTGGGTTGGATAGCACTTTTGATGGCGAGCCAGTTGCATGTGCTGAGGCCAAGAGCAAGTCTGATTGTGGTGTTGGCATGTCTACTGCCTCTGCTCGGCGCTGCTTTGATTGCAGTGAGCAGATTGGAAGACTACAGGCACGATGTGTTTGACGTCGTGAGCGGGAGCATACTCGGATTTGCGGTAACATATTTCAACTGGCGGCGATACTATCCGAGCTTAATGGCTGCAGATTGTCACGAGCCATATTCGCCTCCAAATGGAAAGGCTACCAATGGATTCCAGCGCCTCAGAGATGAAGAGGCTGGCATGAGTCGGCAGAGTGAGCGCTATGTAGTGGGAGACGACTAAAGTGCTCTCTGCATACCCTTGCTCTTATGCCGAGATCGAGCATGTAGCAGATGATGTAGAAGCTCAAATAGTCTTCGAGAAATCGATATTTAGATCTGTCATGTAGCTTTGCTGTTGTGACTTGCTGCAGACCGTAGACCTTGAACCCTTGGCGCAGTGCCATATAGGCAGCCATTGTATGATGGCACGTGTACGAGCGACAAAGACGGTCAATACAAAATATGCACAGCCATGCGTAAGTTGCCATCCTGGCCGTTGATCTGATCGGATCCGAAAAGTCTTCGGCCGCGATAGGCCGACAGCCCGGCCATCTTCACAATTCAACAATGACCTCACGCCATACCACATCAAACCGAAACACCTATTCCAACACTCATCCACCACACGGGACGAAAGGCCAAGCGGCGTTGCCCCTTCCATAATGCCCAAAAAAGACAAGCTCCAATCTCTCCCTCCGGAACCTATCACCGAGCAAACTTCCCTACTCCATCCCAACCAAGACGGCACAAATCATGGCACTCTCCCAGCAGAAAATGTCTCCGCCCTCGAAGCCCAAGCCGAACAAGAACGCCGCGAATATGAATCTGGTCATGTTCCTCTCGCCGCAGAACCTTCGACGCGAAAACTCCTCGCCACCATGTCTTCCCTCTGGATGGTGACATTCCTCGCCGCACTAGACACGACCATCGTCGCGACCTTATCAGGCCCCATCAGCAGTTCCTTCAATTCTGGAACCTCTTTCAGTTGGATTGCCACGGGATATCTGATCGCTAATTCAGCTTTCCAACCACTTTCGGGGAAGTTAACGGATATTTATGGAAGGAGGGCAGGTCTGATTTTTGCTTTTACGTTCTTTTCTGCGGGCACGCTACTTTGTGGGCTGGCGAAGAACGCGGAAATGATGATTCTTGGGAGAGTTGTGGCGGGTGCGGGTGGAGGGTGTTTGAATACCGTGTCTGTTTTTGTGGCGAGTGATTTGATTCCACTGAGGAAGAGGGGATTGTGGCAGGGGATTGGAAATGTGGTATTTGGAGCTGGTATGGGGTTGGGTGGTGTGTTTGGTGGATGGATTAATGATACGTATGGGTGGCGATATGGTAAGTGGTCTCGCATTCTATCTTAGGGAAATATGGTGCTGAGTGTTGGCTAACTTATGCGACAGCATTTTACATCCAGGTCCCATTTGCTGTAGTCGGAGGCTTGTTCGGCACCTACATGCTCGACATACCAGTGAAAGAGACTGACAAGTCCAAGATCAGGCGCGTCGACTTTCTTGGGGCTATCACTCTCGTCACCGCGCTTGTGCTGCTGCTCCTCGGCCTGAACAGTGGCGGGAACATCGTGCCATGGAAGCACCCTCTGGTCTACGTCTCCATCCCTCTCAGCTTCGTAGCTCTCGCCGCATTCGTCTTCATCGAGGATCGCGTTGCCTCCGAACCCATCATCCCCGTCCGACTCCTCCTTCACCAAAGCGTCGCCGCAGCATGCCTGACTAACTGGTTCATGACCATGAGCGTCTTTGGCTTGATCTACTACGGACCCATCTTCTTCCAGGTTGTCCGCAACGTCACAGCTACACGAGCTGGAACTCTCTTCATCCCGCAAGCAGTCGGCACAGCAACAGGATCACTTGGATCAGGAATCATCATGCGCTGGACCGGCAAATACTGGTATCTCAACATCTTCATGCAACTTCTCTCCCTCGTTGCAACGAGCTTGATCGCATGGCAATTCGACGAGAACGTCCCTACTGTTCCGCCATTCATCTATCTCTTCATGGAAGGCTTCGCATACGGCAGCATGCTCACTATCACTTTGATCGCATTGATCTCTGCTGTCGACCACAAGTACCAAGCTGTTATCACCAGTGCATCTTATGCTTTCCGAAGCACGGGCAGCTCGATCGGTATCACGATTGCCGGGGCGGTCTTCCAGAATCTGCTGAAGAAAGGACTTTTCGAGCGGTTTGGTGATGAACCTGGCGCTGCGGATCGCATTCGACGGATACGAGATTCAACTGATGAGCTCAATCATCTGCCCAAAGGCTGGCATGCTGGCGTGATAGAAGCCTACGTCGATGCCTTGAGAGGGGTGTGGATAGTCGCGTTAGGCTTTGCTGCACTGACTGCAGTTGTCAGTTCGTTCATCAAGCAGCACAAACTGTACAACAGCCTGGATCGCAAATAGTCTGCACAGAATCTGAGTGACTCTCTGATATCTTTTTCTAATTGAATCATCATTTCTCCTTGAAGGCATATTTCTCATACACCCGAGCACGATATCCTCTACTTTTCCACGACCTTTTTCCATCTTCGCGCTCTACGTTGTGCAACCTCTCACATACTCCAACTCGTCAAAGTGGGAGCATCCAAGAAATCCAACTTCCCAATCTGGACACCCTCTTTCCTCAAAATATTATACGCCGTGATGAAATGGAAGAAGAAAGTCGGCAAGCAATACTTTTGCAAGTACTCCAAAGCTCCCATTTCCATTTCTTTCGGGCCCAATTTGACATTGCACTTCTCATTCTGCATGGAAAGAAAAAGGATAAAGGTCAGCTAGCTGTTGCACGTTTGGAGTTTTGGGTTGAGAAGGAGAAAAGGGAATGGGGAAAGTGAAGACGTACAGCCCCAACAAACTTCTCCTTCTTCGCAGCACGGAGCAACTTGATCGTGGACTCAATCCGAGCATAGAATTCCGCAAAAGTCTTCTCGTTGTCGTCAGCGGAGACGGGAGTTTCGCCGCCGATACGTGGGAGCACGGCTTTGGCGGAGTTGCAGCAGGTGTGGATTTGGAAGCTTAGTGGCTATGCATTTTGTTAGAGATGATGTAGTATAAGACGGCGGTAGTTTTGGAGAGGTTTGACTTACGAGCATGTCATCAACCAGACGAGTTTTTAGAAAAGCTTCGCCATCTTTGCCATTCTCTTTGGCCCATGCTTCGCCTTTTTTGAGGATTGTCGTCAGGATCTCGAGGTTGCGGACGAGGATGGGGACTGAGACGTCGTAGGTGCTGATGGAAGACATTTTGGTCTGCAAGTCGGTCGTGCTGTTTGGTCCTAAGAGTGTTGCTATTACGAAGTCGTCAAAGTGCACGTGACAAGTGGGAACTTGTCAGATTGCGTGCTCAATGTAAGTGAAGTGAGATGTATTCTCAAGAAGCAGAAGCTCAATTTATAATTCTTTCTCTCGCACTGAGTAACGATCTTCTTTGACCTTCCACGAATGAATAGCTCCACAACAGTCTGACGAGCTTTACTGATCTGTGGTTCCACAGGGTTCACCGACTCCATGTTGATTTGTAAACATTGGATTGAGACTTTTTTTTGTTTCGAGCTCAAGCTTCGTGGTCTACTGCAGGAGCTTTGCAGCTAGGGTTTCAATTCCGCTCTTGTCGAAGTAAAGCAAGCTGCTTTTGTTGGTGACTGTGGAAAATTAGTGTGAAGAGTGTGAAGAGGGGGAAGCAAGTGGGGTCGCAATGTTGATCATGAGAACAATTGCCTCAGGCCAACATCCAGAGCATGGAAAGGCAAATGTCAGCTGTACTCTTGCAGCACGGCCTTTGATAACTTGAACCCAACATACCAGAGCACTCTGCGTCATAGCCTTCCATGCGCTGGAAAACTTGTTAGAATTACTTAGCGTGCGAGTATGACAAGGCACCCGCGGCAGATCATCCCCCGTGTACACATTCTTAGTATGCCAATGCCAATGGCTATAACTGAGCAGGTCTCATTGTAGCGGCTGCAGCTTCAGTAGTTTGTTCACATCTTGCTGCGCCAAGCAAAACATGGCCCTTAAGAACGATCCATATCCGCGCTTCATCAAGTCATCAGTCATTATCTAAAACAGCACAATCATGCCCGCATGATCAGATATTGCCAATTACAACCATGAATCTCAACTTGCCGTCTCCCTTTCCCTTCATAGCTGGCCTTCTTCCCTCTCGTTCGCGCTGTGAATCATCGAGCAAGTCGTCCTTGCGATCGTCTTCATCGCCATCTAGAAGTCCCTCGTCAAGCATCAAAGTACTGCTCTTCCAACCCCATGATTGGGAGAAGTTGAACTTATCAGGCGCAGACTCGTATACACTAAGCATTCTGCCGCCTCGGCTAGGGCTGTAGATTTTGAAATATGTTCGAATGGTCGGTCTAGCATCGACGTAGGGTGGTAAAGTGGGAACATGGAACCTTGATGCGGCTGCCGCAAGGCGTTCGGACTCAGAGTCATGATTGTCGAAGAAGTCGTCATCATCATCGATGTTGGGATGGTCTTCTTCCTGTGAAGTGGGGATGTCGTTCGAGCTTGCGTCTGGCGGAGAATTGCCAACAGCATCGGTCTGGCTCCTCTTCCGGTTCCTGTAGCTCAATAGGCTGCGGGTAGCAATCGGCCTGCTGACGCTGCTTCCTAGTCCCAATGTCTCGTTGCCATCATCAATGCCGACACTACCACTGCTGTCCATATCATCTCCGTCGATGTCGTTGGGTGCAACAGTGGTGCGTCTTCGCTGTCTGCGCTCTCTACGTTCACTTCGCAGAATCATTTCCCGTTCCAGCTGGCCTATACGCTCATCGACACTGCCTTGTGCTAGACCAGCTGTGCCAGCAATTACTTCCTCAGTCTCACGTTCTTTGGCTCTGTGTAGATACACGCCAAGCTGCTTGCTGCGCGAGGATGCCACTTTCTGTATGTATATGTTCCAAAGACTCCCCGCGTAGAACACAGTCCTGCTGTAGACACGCTTCTTGTCTTTGAGTAGCCTGGGGTTTGGGAACTCTGCAGAGAACCGGAATGGCGGAAAGTGAGTATAGCTGACTGTCGATGGTTCTGGTTGCATCTGTGTTGTGTCAAGCGTCAACGGAGGACGTGGCTGGGACGTCACGGCACTGAAGTCGGCTGCCCACTGGACGTCCTCCGGCTGAATGGTGGCACTCAACCTGCTTGCATGGCGTTGGATCGTGGAGGTGTTCGAAGTGGCGATGATGGGCTCAGCATTACCACCCATCACGATGTTACAGTCTGAGCTTGGTATCCAAAACTTACGCGGTCTTCCATTGCCGTCCCAGGAGCCGCTGTCAATGTCCTCTTCGACTGCTGTATGCTCCACGTCTACTGCTTTTCGCTTGCCCGTAGATCGGTCCGTGCCGGAGCTGGCATGTATCGACATGGTCGTGTCTCTGTTAGTGGTCTGGACAGCGTCTTCCGTACATTCGACACTCAGACCAAGATCCAGCTCGGCCTCTCTGGCGTTCATAACTTTTTGACGCAGCTCCATCTGCTGCCACAACGCATTGCTAATCACCTTTTCTGACATGATGGGAAGTCCTAAGCAATCCTTAGCGCTACGGATGTATTGTAATTGCTCGAAGTCAAGGTGCAGGTAGTGGATGCCTTCATCGACCAGGACTAAGAGAGGCTCGACTTCGGGGTGCGTGTACAAGGCGATCCACTTCTGCAGCGCGTCCGGTACGCCTCGACTGTAGCCGCCGTCACCTTTGCGGTATAAGCCATCGAAGCGTACGGCCATTAAGCTGGCGCTCTCTGGTACCTTGAGGACTTTGCGGCGGTTCCCAGGCTCAAACAGGCCTGCTGCAATGGCTTGCTGTCGCAGCCGGCGATCCAAGAGGCGCTTGGACAACACCCATCGATCGAATTCGCCATCGATGAAAAAGCCATCTCCTCCCACAATTTCGCGGATGATATCACCTGGTATGCCATCCCAGAAACGCAGTGGCATCTTCCAGCCGTCTCTGCAAAGCATTGACTTGGCGCTGGCGAGCACTTTGTCTCCAGCTCTCCCATAGTAATTTGAGGTCACAAGTCTGATGAGCGGAGACAAAGTCTCGTTGGTCATTTGTCGAAGCATAGATTCGATCGCTGAGTCGACCAGGTCTTGCATTTCAAGCCAGCATCCGGTCGCAAACAGACCAACGGGGTCTTGATCTTCCTCGGCAATGTTACAGCAGCCGTACAGACGCTTGAGAGCCAGCTCAAATGCCGTTTGTGTGATGGATGGGTCGATATCTTCTGGATGTACCTTCATCTCCTTTGCGTTTGCTTCTAGCCAGGGCGGAGACAGTGCACTCGAAAAGAAGGGGGCTCGATCTAGGATTAGTCGATGTAGCTTGTACTCATGCCCAAACGCGTGAACGGTGATGTCTGAATGCCGGCCGGAGAGTAGACCGCGAGAGTACAGGTGCTCTGGAAGGGCGGCCGCCCCGTCACCATGCATGGATCTAACATATGTAGAAGGGTATCTGGGCGGCATTGTATACGAGGCTTGTCTTGAGCTTCCAGGCGAGGTCGCGGCCTGCACAGCGAATAGCCTGCTCAAGGTGGTCAAGGTATTCGAAGCAGCTCTGCCGTGCATGCCTCGCGAGGAAGAAGACGGCGGGATGTTCACATCGTCCACATCCTTCTCCACTCGTGGCAGACGACGAGCGCCCAGTCGTGCGTCTGCCTCATACTGCTGCTCTTTCATGACTGGCGGCGGCTGGAGCGAAGCCAGTGGTTGTTGCTGCTCTGAAACGGGCTGGACACGTTCGTGATCGAGGGTGGCAGAGGGTGCATGTGGGTTGCTGCTGCTGCTTGATCCGAAGATGGAGCGAGACAGATTGGTGCTGGTGGTAGGCGACTCTGCGAATGACCACGACTCGCTGGCGGACGTCATCCTGTCTGAGGGTTGAGATGAGGCGGTGGAAGCTTGACGGGAGACGTCGCGGCCGTCCATGGCGGCGGTCACGGGGGGTCGAGGAGGTGGAGGAGGGTATTACAGCATCGGCGGAGCTTTTCGTCAAGTGGACTCGGTGCTACTGCTGATGCTGCTGGCTGTTACACCGGGGCGGGGAGCGCGTGAGATGGACGATCAGCGGTGGGCGACCGTCACGCGCAGCAGCTGCCCGCATCGCTGTCGCGTGCTGTGGTGTGCGGTCAGGTGAAGATAGCGCTCACCCGCGGTGCTGCACCCGGCCGCGTGCTCTGCACCTCGACCGTTGCCAACTATGGCAAGGCATGATGTTCACCAGCTCCGTCACGGCGCCAGCCATCGGAGCAAGGGTCGTCGGCACGATCTTCGCCGGCGGAGCTGCAGGGTCCAGATCGTGCATCTGAATTGGTGATGACTTCGACGACTTCCTCTCCCTCTCATTCGATATTGGACTCTCTCCCTCTGGCGGCCAGCGATGGCATCGATATTCGGTTCAGCGCCCATACGGGCACGCCTAGCCTTCAAGGCAGCATACCAGGATGCCTTCGTTTGTCGAAGGTGCATGCAACAGCAGGCGAAATCTCCGCAGATCTGGAAGGCGAAACAGCAGACTCCATTCCTCCAGGCCTTTCGCAAAGGTGGTCCAGCGGGCTCGCGAGCACAATCATCCGCCGCACAGTCGCCGACATCCCCTCTAGGAGCGTTGGGAAGGACGTTGGGTGATGCTCCAGCGCGACAAATCCCGACATCGAATGCGAGAATATCCTCATTCCCAGAGACTAGCTCCAAATCGGTCGCATACTGGCTGTTAGGCTCAGCCGCTTCCGTCTTTGGAATTGTCGTATTTGGTGGTCTCACGCGATTGACGGAATCTGGTCTGAGCATCACGGAATGGCGGCCAGTGACCGGCTCTTTCCCACCACGCGATCAGGCAGCATGGGAAGAAGAGTTCGCCTTGTACAAGCTTTCTCCGGAGTTCAAAATGTTGAATAGCAGGATGAACTTGGAGGAGTTCAAGCAGATTTACTGGATGGAGTGGGGACACCGACTATGGGGGCGTGTGGTTGGCATCACTTTCCTGTTGCCAACTGCATACTTCATCATCAGGCGAAGGGTCAGCAAGCCAATGGCTCTTCGGCTGGTCGGCATAAGTGGTCTTATTGGATTCCAAGGCGTCATCGGCTGGTGGATGGTCAAGAGCGGGCTCAAAGACGATCTGTTCAAGCAAGGCCAACAGCCACGAGTGTCTCAATACAGACTGGCAGCACACCTGGGTACCGCCTTCATCGCATACCTATGCATGTTCTGGAATGGACTGCACATCCTGAAGGAGCGCAGTCTATTGAAAGACCCAGTAGAGGGCGCAAAACTACTCGAGACCTTGAAGCGGCCAGAGCTGAAGAGATTCAAGACTCTGGTAGCCGGGCTCGCGGTGCTGACCTTCGTTACAGCCATGTCGGGAGCGCTGGTCGCTGGTCTTGACGCAGGACTGATCTACAATGACTTCCCATGGATGGGTCAAGGCCTACTTCCACCGAAGCGGGAGATGTTCGATCCCTTCTACTCGCACAGCGAGGATCAGAAGGACTTGTACTGGCGGAATGCTCTTGAGAACCCAGTCCTCGTCCAGCTCGACCACCGAATTTTGGCGACAACAACCTTCACTGCCATCATGGCACTGTGGGCATACAGCAGATTCAGCCCGGCTGTTCGGGCGACACTACCTCGCAAAGGCAAAGTTGGCATGCTCGGCGTGGTGCATCTGGTCAGCTTGCAGGTCACCCTAGGCATTACGACTCTCTGGTATCTCGTTCCGACTCCCTTGGCAGCAGCACATCAAGCTGGTGCATTAGCACTGCTCACTGGTGTGTTCTTGCTCGGCAGCAGGCTGTACGTGCCAAAGCGGACTATGCGACTGGTGCAGAACGCGCTCAGACAGACCCAGTCAAAGACTACTACTGCCAAGGGTCCCCGGCCCGAGTTGACTTCCCACTGATATGCAAAGCAACTCTTGCGCGATGGCTTCGGCTAGCACTCTCCCTACTCTACTCGAAATTAGCGCTGTACATTCTATTGTAGACATAGATTCATGACAAGAGGAAGTCACGAGGCCCAAGAGCCCAATAACAGCCAAGTCTTGCCTCGTTCCGTCTCGCTCACATGTTCAATAGGCCTAATTGCAGGCTGCGAACACTATTGCAGCACAATGATTTCCTGGAGACCACGTACCGCGGAGATCGAATGACAACAACCTGCGCCTCTGCGCCGCAGATTGGCATACTGTGGACTTGGTTTTAAGAGGACTGTTATACGGAGTGGTTTCGACAGCCGTGCATGTGCACATATCTGCCACTCTGCACAAGCCAGCATTGGTCAGAGCCACCACCTACTTTTTGCAAGCTCGACTCGTCTCGACTTTGTCGACTTCCCGCATGCGCCACGCGAGGTCGCACACTGAGGTGTTTTATGCAGGTACTTCGGGAGCTCGGTTGCAAGCCCCACCTCACATAGGTTAAGTCAACCTTCAGCTAGTCAGGGCTGTTGATATACTTATAGACTTCTTCGACTATATTGCAGCTTCACGCGTCGTGTCCTCTTTTGGTACAGTTTTATCGGTTCAGTTGATTCGTCGCCAAACGATCGATCGATACCACTATGCCTTGGCTCAGTGACTGGTCCTACCCGCTCCCAGCGGAAGACCTGCTTACTTGGACGTTTGATCATTGCGATTATGACAAAGATGCGCCTGCAAGTCTTCCAGCGTTCCTTTCAGCAGAGCGCAATTGTAGAACAGCACAGGTGGACTGACCTCTTGCAGATATATATCGATCTCGAGAACCCCACCAGGACGCTCTCATGGAACTCCTCACGCAGCGTCGTTCGACGCTTAATCGCAGGTTTCCGCGCCGCAGGCATACAATCAGGAGATTGCGTAATGATATCGTCTTTCAATGACATTTACTATTGCATGCTCTTCCTCGCCATCGTGGGCTCCGGCGGAGTCTTCACAGGCGCCAACCCAGCTTACACATCATTTGAGATAAGCCACCACGTCAAAACTGCGAAAGCCAAATACATCATCGTCGAACCCGAACTCCTTCCAAACATTTTGGAAGGAAGCTCCGGCGACGTACCGAAAGAGAACATCTTCATCTTCAACGTCCGCGGCCAGCCCTGTCCCGAAGGCTTCAAATCCTGGACCTGGCTCCTCGAACACGGCGAACAAGACTGGAACCGATTCACAGGCAAGGACATCTGCCGCAAAACCAGCGTCGCCCGCTTAACAACCTCTGGAACAACAGGTCCGCCGAAGATGGCAGTCCAGAGCCACTACAACGCAACATCGTGGTTCACCATGGTCAACGAAATCTCCGAGCCACCTTGGACGATCACAAATTTATCCCCACTGCCTCTCTTTCACGTCGCGACAGTTCCTGCCGTTCACTGCGGCCCTCTCCGAAAAGGTCATGTCATGTATTTGATGCGAAGATTCGATCTGGAACCTTATCTCGCTGCGGTCGAGAAGTATAAGATTTCTTTGTTGGGGATGGTGCCTCCTTTGGTCATCGCTATCATAAATTCCCCCTTGAGACACAAATACTCCCTCAAAAGTGTCCGACGAGTTGGATGTGGAGCTGCGCCGCTCGATAAGGATTCTGGAGAAAGATTAAAAGCTCTCTGTGCGGATGACTGTACTTTCACACAAGTTTTGGGGAGTACAGAAACGACGGGTGTTTTTACGTTGTTCTACTACCCGGATGAGGATGACACGGGGAGCGTAGGGAATACGTGGTTCCCCAATTCAGATGTCAAATTGATTGATGATGAGGGGAATGATGTTACGGCTCATGATGTGCGAGGGGAGCTTTGCGTTCGGGGACCAAGTATTATCGATGGGTATTTTGAAAATGAGAAGGCGAACCGGGAGTCGTGGGATAAGGAGGGGTATTATAAGACGGGGGATATTGTTTATAGGGATGGGAAGACGAAGAAGTTTTATATTGTTGATCGGAAGAAGGTGAGGAAAGAAGTCTTGGTTTGTTTATCGACTGAATCTCAACACGCTAATTGATCTACAGGAACTCATCAAAGTCCGCGGTTTCCAAGTCGCTCCTCCGGAACTCGAAGGCGTGCTACTGGGACATCCGGATATCGTTGATGTTGCAGTGATTGGCCTTCCTGCGCCTCGAAATTCTGACGCCGAGCTGCCCCGAGCATACATTGTGCGCAGGCCCGGTTCCAATATCACCGAGGCAGATGTGCACAAGCTGGTTGCAGAGCGTCTGGCTTCGTATAAGAAGCTGACAGGTGGCGTAAAATTCGTGAGCGAGGTGCCCAAGAGCGCAAGTGGAAAGATTTTGAAGCGTGTTCTGCGGGAAGAAGCTCAGAAAGAGCAAGCTGCTGGGATAGGCAAGTTGCAGTCGAAGCTGTAGAACCAGGAACGACTTGTATACTGCCAGTATATGCGCGCTCAATCCAACCTCATCGCTTTGGACTGGTCAAACTCGATATGAATTGTCCGTTCGCTTCCAGCTTTCTCCTCAATCACCTCCGCAACTCGTTCTTCTGGCTGGCCGTCGAAGCTCAGAGATCCAACCAACCGCCAACGCTTGCGTACAGCTTTGATGATCGCATCCCTGTCCAGGCCTGTCGCGTTTTGCGGTTCGCCGATTCCTGGCTTTGCGAACATCAGGGGCACCAAAAGCCAGCTCTCTTCGTCATGTTTGTACTTAAAGCCCATCAGTCGGCAAGCGAATGGAACCGATGCCCAATCAAAGTGAGAATTGTGAGCTTCCGCTGGAACATGAAAATCTTCCGATCTTGTCAGATGAGACACACCTATGTCCGAGTTCGTACCATCCTCGCTCTCGACAGCTGTACGCTTTCGTGAGCCGGTAGCCTGCGTAGTCCTGCGCTTTCGCCGGGCGCCTTGTCCAACGTCTTCCTCCGGCTCATTTGGCTTGTTCTGTTCTCTTATCTGTCGCCTTTTATCGCGGCCCTTCTTGTCCTGGGCCCTGACCTTTTCTCTATGGGCTGGTGTGTCTGCGGTCAAATCTTTATGGAACCAATACTTCACCATATTGGCCACGAACTTCCAAGTGGGTTCATCTGGCTCGCCGGCTGACTCTGGCCAGTCATGCTCCGCGAAGAGCTGCTTGCTGAAAATCTCCTTCAAGGTAACTGCGTTTCTCGACACTCTCTCAAGGCCTTGATTGAGAGCGTAAACATGCAATGGATGACTGTCGTCTTGTATGAGTGTTCGAAATGCCTGGTTCTTCGCGGAGAGGGACATTTCGTTGAAAGGTCTCGTGTAGCCAGTTCCTGGCTCGAACACAAAGCTACGCATGTGATCGAGCATCTTGACCGCCTCTTCCTCGTCGGCGAGATTCATGAAGGTGGCGATAGTCTTGAGATTAGGGCTGCCGCCCGAGCGATATGTGCCAGTCCATGATGGGTAATGCTGGCGTAGCTTCTCAGTGCGCTCAATCTCGAAATGTTGCTTTTGTGCTTTCTCTTCCGGCGTTACCGTTCTCTTCTCGCCTTGTTTGCTGGTCGGCATTTTGCTGAAGGTCAACGAGTCGTCGATCGGCGTGTCTGCTGGTTGCAAAGTATTCCTGCAGTGCGGTTTGAAACAAGCACACTTGTGGTCGGACGATCAATGAGCCACCTGGATCCTTGACTGGAGTCTTCAGTGCCGTTTTGCAAGTGTCAAGTGAGGTCTCTTGTGCGAAAATGGGGCAAGCTCACCACTCGTACGACAACATCCCTCACTCTGACATCGCCGCCACGATAGATGCTTCACATCGGCGATGCCATTCACTTTGCCACTCCGTGTCTCTCGCGTCTCGCCATAACTACCTCCCACTTCACTTCCTAATTCATCGCGTCACCGAGTGCTTCCTCCGCGAGACATTGGTCCACGTATGTGTTGGCATATTTCTGTATCGCGGCTCCTGATGCCAGAAGTCCATCCTGACATCTGGGTCTATCATTCGTCATCGCCTACCATTCCCATCCTCTTTCTCTTCACCTTCTAGCCATATCTCATGTCCATCTCCCTCTCTTACCCACCTACCCGCAAATGCCCCTAAGACGGCAATCGCAGCCATACCCCACCAAGCCGCACCCACGACCCCTCTCTCCAGCCCGACGCCATAAATATGTCCCGCCAAGACCGGTCCGATCGTCCGCGTAGCACTACTTACACTTTGCGCAATGCCATGGATCGTCCCCAGCACGCTCGGATGTGGACTCGCATTGTTCACCAATATTGCAGTACTTGGTAGCGCGAACGTCCGGGCCATGACTTGAATCGCGAGGACCAAGGTGATATAGAGCCAGATAAGTAGTCCGGAAGCTTGAGCGGGCGGAGAAGACGTGCTGGGAACGATGGCGAGGTAGGGTGCGAGGAAGTAGGATATAGGGAAAAGAAGGAGACTCAAGCGATAAGAGCGAATTGTGCCGAGCCAGAAGCTGACAGGAGGGAAGACGAGTAGTTGGAGGGAGATGCCGATAACGCCGAGGATGGCGAGGGCAGTTCCAATTGCTGGGGGAGGGAGAGCGAGGCCGCC